ATTAATAAATCTGAAAAAAAAGGTGTCTTTTCTAACGACAAGTTCGTTCGTTCGTTCCAATTTAGGCAAATATTAAAATACAACTTCGTTATGTTATTGTCAACCGTGCACACGCGAGCAATAAAAATACAATTCCCGAAAAGTTCGCTACGTATCCCCCCCCCCCCATCGATTAATTGAATATCGATTTGTCCAGAGTCAGAGTTCTCGGTTAACCAGCCAATATCAAACTTTTAATCACCCTTCCCGCCGTTTCACCATCGCTGCACAGAATTATTCTACGCTTTTTTGCTCATTGTTCATTCGTTGAAAAAAAGAAGAGAGAGAGAGAGAGAGAGAGAGAGAAAAAAAAGAAGGACGAAAAGAACAAAAAAAAAAGAAGAAAAAAAAAGAAAAAAGGGAAATAAAAGATTCTATATAACTTTTTCACGTTCCATGCCACGGAACATTCGGAGCGTGTCGCGTTCAAGGCGAGCACCCACGCACAAGAAGGCTGCAATTTCCTTGACAAATAAGGCGATAGCTTTAACGATCGACGAAACGTACGGTAATTTTCTTGCTGCTTCACCTTGCAAGGCAGCCCCGTGTGGCGTTCGTTATTAGCGATGTAGCGAGGATCGTTCGTTAACGGGCCGCTCGTGCAAACAGGATCACTCGTCCCGGATGGTATCTGCATGCAAATAGTGCAACAATCGAGATCAAAGCGTTGTTCCGTACGAATGTCTTCGATTAACCGGCTCCCTGCTGAGATCAGCGGGCAATTTTCCTGAAAATATCGCCCTCGAAGGACAAGACGGGACGTCGTTTCCTTGCGAGAGCAAAAAGTTACGATCGTCGGCCACTGGAATTAGGATCGCGAGCGAGTGTACCACTGTTTTAAATTGCAAATTGTTCCTAGTCTAAGTTAAACCAGCAGCGATTGCGAACGGAGAATTGGATTTTGAGAATTTAGACTTTTCGGCGAGTTTCCTTGAAGGCTAAATAATTTCGTTTCGTTGATCCGATGGAGATTTCGAATCAGATAATCCACGTGGTAGACGCCACCGCGTTATTTCTATTTTGTAATCATGTTTCTTACAAATTTTTGTTACTACGTATCTGTAGCAATTGCGAAACGAGAATGTAATTCAGATTTAGATTTTTAGTGAATTTTTATCAGATAATTGACTGGAGATTATGTCAGATTATTTTTTTCAGATGGTTTCTACTAATCTTTACTGTGTATTTTATGTCGTCATCTCAAACACAGAATTTCGACTGATAAAACTGCTCATATAATAATTTTCTTATAATAACTCTCACGAACAACTTTTGGGAATTTTTATCGTATACTTTAGACATTTAGTTATTTAATAACAATAAAAATTAATTTCACTAATTAATTATTAAATTATTAGTTATTTAATTATCCGATACGTAGTCGTTTCTTAATTTTACTGAAAGTTTATTAATCGAATGATCGAATTCTTTAAACATTCCCGGTGGTTGTTATTCCATTTTAACTCGTTCCATTAGTTTGTTCGAAATGTTTCCTTCCGTTGCAACACATTTGTCACGATGAAAGGAAAATAATTGCACACCAAAGATTCGCAACCCCGAGTGAAATACCGATGGGAATTTCAGTATGTAAAATGCGTGGGACGAGATGCAAAAGCAAAAGTCGAACGTGAACTTCACTCACTCGACACGAACGTCGTCGTTGTGTTCTAAACACGTTTTCGAAATTGGAATCACGTTTTACCAGTTCATTTCTGCACGTGTCTCTTGCTTTCTTCGCGCTTACGTACGAGTCTTGTATAACTTAATATAATTTAATTAAGTCGGGTCATTGCTTGGTACAGATGCCTCCATGATCGTCGAGTCAGAAATTAGTGAAGCAAATCAATTTAGTTAGCCACGTTTCTAGAAACGAATGAAACGTTTATGAACGAGAAATTTATGGAATAAATAATTAGAAACCTGAATCATCTTCAAATTATATCCGCGTGGTATTGTTAGGGAAAAGTTCTCGAATTCTCGAGCTCGCTGATTTAAAAGCATGGAAAGCTCGAAGTTCCGTTGATGCTTCCTTCACATTCTGTCGAATCAAAAAATTAAAAGCAAGACGAGAGAATCGTTCCAAGAAAAATTGGCAGAAATTGCTAGCAAGCGAAAGGGTGTTGTTCCACTTTGCCAAATTTTCAGCCTTTTATTGTTCTTTCATTGAACTCCGTGGTAACTCGAGTGTTACCACCAATGAAGAATGAACAGACGATAAATTTTTCGAAATATTCAACTCGAGCTCCGAGCATCGTAATTCCGCGATAATATGGAGTTTCCGAGTATTAAAGGACTATTTATCGCTGTACGCGAGGCCTTTCTGTTCTCCTCAGCTCGTAAACGTCTTCCTTTAAGACGTGTAACTGGAATGAAACAATAAAACGCGCGAGCCTGGGATCGTTGCGCGATTTGTCTAACAACCTTGAGAAATTTGGAACGAGTTGTGATTTAATATAAATTTAATACACGGTGGCTACAGCGGATATTAACACTCCATTATGTATATTTATTGCAGCACTTACGAAGCAATTAATTAGGTACAAGTATGATTCGCTAGAGTGATCGATTTATATAATCGTGTAAAATTGTTCAGAATTTGGCGAGCTGTTAAATTACATTTATTGGACGTCGATTATTGGAGCTTAAATCTTGTTGAATTTAACATGATCGTGAGGGAGATGAATTACGAATCGAAATGAAACGCGAATGATGATTGAATTCGGATTATAAGAATTGAAATTTCGATTCGATGAATAAAAATTGTTTGCATTACCAGCGAAGAGTTTTAAAAAGTTACATCAACAGAATAGATAATCTAACATTCAAGTGAAAAATTTAGAACAAACGAGCCAATATTTAATTAAAGACTTTTACTATGATAATTGTAAAATTGTTTCACAATCACCGAATCGTGATCGAACGATGTGACGTGAGTCGACAAATTTGTTTCAACGTTATTTTCAAAAAAATTATAAACGTCGAGACTTGTGATTACAAAATTTGGCCCCCAACAGTTTAATACTTCGCACGTGACTATAATATTTAATACTGTGAGACTACCTTTTACATTTACAAGAAATTGCTCGCGATTTAATATTGTCAAATATTGAAGAATTTTAGAAAACTTTTATAAATTCGATTCAACAATGTGTGGTTAACGTGGAATTCTTTTATACATAGAATTTCATTCGCATGCTTGAACGCTCGATAAAACGTACCTACGCTTTCATGGTTTTTTCACCTTTAACCCAGATTCAAAGTCACCGCTGTACATTTTTTTTTTTTTTCCTCGACTCCCACGGGTCTTGTTTCTGTCTTTCTCTTCACTGGCTTGAAGGGAATTCCGTGCCGGTCTTGAATATCATATAACATTCTCTGTTTAAACGATCCATTGGTTTTTCGAACAGACAGTAAGGGATTACAACTGAAAAAAATTTTTTTAAAAAACGTGTACAATTGAAATGATCGACAAAAGTATCTACGACTTTAGCGACATGATTTTTTTTTTTATCTTTGATGATCTAGGCGCCGTGGAAGTTGGAACTTTGAAGGAAACAATCACGGTTTATGAGCAGGAAATAATTGTATAAGCAACAACGAAGCTTAACTTGCGCCAGTAGAGCGTCAGTAATTCGATTATACGTGTGCCAGTTCGAGAAGTTAAACTGGAAACTCCGAGTTAAGTGGCAAGTTTCTTTTAATTGACACGATCTCCTCGAGAAGAAGTAATATAAATATCTTTATTAATCCTTTCGATCGGTAAAGATGCACCTGAATTATCTGTCGTTGAATTATCTGTGGAAGTTAAACTGAAAACTCTGGGTTAAGTGGCAAGTCTTTTAATCGGCACTTTCTCCTCAAGAAAAAGTAACCTAAGTGTCTTTATTAACACCTCCCGACCGATAAAGATATTCCTGAATTATTCATGAAAGTTGAACTGTAAACTCCGAGTTAAGTGGCAAATTTCTTTTAATTGGCACGTTCTCCTCGAGAAGAAGTAATGTAAATATCTTTACTAATCCTCTCGATCGGTAAAGAACCTTCTGAATTATCTATAGCAGCTGAGATATAGTAGCTTTTCCATCGACAATCCACTGGCGAGTTCGTAAGCTTCACTAAGTCTGACCAATGGTCAGCTCGTACTACTGAAAATTGAGATATTTATCGATAACAGGTACTTCTCAATGGATAATTTTTTAACGAATTGTCGTGACGATTATTTGCTAGATGTTGATGTTATTTACTGACGATAATATGATTCAGTTAATTATACGAAGAGTTTTTAAGTGATCTGTTTCATTAACGAGAGTCACGTTCTCGTGATTCAAAATCCGAGTTTTCAGCGAGATGTAACTTCTGGTTCTCGAGATATTTAATTGTAAATAACGGAATGTAATTGTTATAAATGTGTGGAAAAATCAGGGAGTTCAATTACTGTCCCTTCACATTTCTGTATTGAATGTGAAACAACACTAATGGGTTTCGAAAACCATATTCCTGGCGCATTCATTACTTGACCAACTTCTATCTAGTTTTACTTGATGTAATTCCCCAATTCGCCTTTGTTTAAACGTAGAGCGCGCTAAAAAGCCAGTGATTCTTTACCATGCCGGTATTTCAGGAGCCAGAACAAAAGCCGAATAAAAAATGTACAAAATAAATGTAAAAAATACAGGCCACGAAATCTAAGATGCTGGGTCTATTCATGTATCTCGTCTATTCATATACCTCGTCTTATCATTAAATCTACTTTACCAGTCGCCAAAATCAACCCATCCGCAGAAACGAGTTATACGATCAGAGTTATACGACAAATATACTTCATCTGTGATCCACTTTACGAGCCGTTCCGCCTGACTATTAGTCGACTCGTTCTACTGGAAAACCGCTTTTACCGATAGCCAATCACGTCGTAACGACGCTGGCCACGTTTCCATGGAGCTCATCCGCGGATCAATACTCTCCCCTAGGCCGTGTGTCGAGCGTCGTCGAAGTGGAGTCTGGCGTCCGGTGTTGTCCTTCGCCTACGCGTATTTTCTCTCTACGTTTTCCTCCTCGAATCTCCCAGTCCGTGACATGTCGTCGAAGAATCGATAGCGTTGCGCGAACAAAAAAGAAGAGAGAGAAAAAAAAAAGAAAAGGAAAGGAAGGGAAGGATACAATGTTGCTTCTTGTTCGTGCGGATCTGCAAGAAGCATGAGCGACGTGTGGCGCGTGTTCGTGCGGCCGAGTGCGTAGAAACGGGGAAAGGGGGGAAAAAAGAAGAAGAAAACGCGACGACACACGGATCGGTGGCGAGGTGTGTGCCGGATTTCGCGGCTCTTCGACGCGAGCCGATCGGTTCTCGTGATTGACCGACTGCGTGAAGATGAAGAGGCAGAATGTCAGGACTCTGTCGTTGGTAGTGTGCACGTTCACTTATTTGCTGATCGGCGCCGCGGTTTTCGACGCGTTGGAGTCGAACACGGAGAGAAAGCGCTGGGAGTTTCTGTCAGGTGAGCACTGTTTCGACGCTTTCACGTGTGGATAGACGAGCGTACGATTGATAGAAAAGTGTATTGAACTTTGACGATGATAAAAATGTGAATAGGAGGGAGGGGATCGATTTCGTAGAAGGCTGAGAGTATGATTCGTTGCTTTCACGTGCGAATATAGTAGATAGAGAATAATTGATGAACGAATGACGACGAATAGGGTGAGGATATACATAGTATACATATAGAACATTTTTGAAAAGTTCTTATTGGCTGAATATTATATGTGAGTATTTGAATCGTGGAAAAGTGGATGTGTGTAAACGTGCAGACTATGGATATTTATAGAAACTCATATTTTCATTAACACGATTGAAAACATTAAAGCCAGGTAGCAGATTCTTTTGTTTACTAATTATCATGACGACTGCGGTATTTTTTAATATCGTATTGAGCGGAAGCTCACGCAGAATTTTCATTAACGCATAAAAATCCGCATTAACGAGATTAATCTTGTCTAACGAGATAGATAAAGAAGAAGATCGAATGTCTCTATTCATTGTTCTCACGTGTGCACATCAGAGTGAGCGATTGCTAGGAAGTGAATAGACAAATGAACGATATGTGGAACGTTCACGATAAGAGATGAAGGTGAGAATACATAGAGGAGTACATACATACGTACACATATTCATACACACGCATATATCAGATGCATTGACTTTGATATTTTCATGTGTGGATGTTTAAGCGTGGGACTAAGGTAAACTAAGAGCATAATGTTAGGGGTTGAAACTAAAGAGGAAGGATATGATATTTAGATTTGATATTTTTATAAGATGATTAATTTAACCGTGTGATCCAGTATAATGATAAGATGATGAACTTGATCGTATGATATACTAAGCATAACGATAAGATGGTTAATTTAATTTAATTGTGCGACTAAGTATAATGTTAAGAATTAAGTACGGTGACGTAAACGAGGAGGCATAATTATTCTTAATTAACAGGAAGGTCTGTGTAGCCGTGGATAGTAAAAGATTTGCGGTATTAAAAAATAATAAAGTAAACTGAATATTTAAGTAGAAAGTCAACAGAGTCAGACTGTTGTAAATAATTTCAGAGTAAATGTTAGAGATGACAATAGAGAGAGAGAGAGAGAGAGAGAGAGAGAGAGAGAGAGAGAGAGAGAGAGAGAAAATACAGCGTGAGTTTGATTTAAAAATTATAGTTAAGTGTAAAGCAAATAGAGAATAGAATCTTTGCACAGTCGTATGCCTATGTATATTTATGTACAATGATTTTAGAGGTTCGTCGGAACATGATGAAGAAGTACAATATCACGCAGGAGGATTACAGAATGCTGGAGATTGTTATAATAGAGAACAAGCCGCACAAGGCAGGCCCTCAATGGAAATTCGCTGGTGCCTTTTATTTCGCCACCCTGGTGCTTGCTATGATAGGTGAGTGATCAGCAACAGTTAAATATGTGTCGTAGGTAATCGATATTGAACGCTTCAATCTTCATGTTATTTATAAAATAAGACGTTAGTTTTTTCGAGAGAGAAATGAAATTACAAGCATTGCAAGCATTGAAAATAAATACACATCGCATATTCATTACAACAATTAAAAACCGAGTCTTCTGCTTTTAATTCTGTTGTTAATTCAAAATTAATACGTAATTAATCGCTCTCATAAATTTTTGAGTAGAATATTAAACTAACTTCTTTTTAAATTTTTATATTTTAAATTGTACAATACCTTGCTGAGTACCTGTTTATATTTTCTTTGTTATTTTAGGATGTTAGAATTCTCTACATTACTCAAAAAGAATCATTATCGAGCGATTTTGTAATCAGTTCTCGTTTCGTTGTTTAGCACTGTTAAATTATTCAATTTCGTCTAACGATTGTTTCAAAAATTATCAGGATACGGACACTCGACGCCAGTCACCATAGGAGGTAAAGCGTTCTGCATGGCGTACGCCATGGTAGGCATCCCTCTGGGTTTGGTGATGTTCCAGAGTATCGGTGAACGTTTGAACAAGTTCGCCTCCGTAGTGATCAAGCGGGCGAAAAGCTATTTAAGGTGTCAGAAAACAGAAGCAACCGAGATGAATCTAATGCTCGCGACTGGTTTACTCTCGAGTATAATTATCACGACCGGGGCCGCTGTGTTCTCGCGTTACGAAGGCTGGAGCTACTTTGATAGCTTCTACTACTGTTTCGTCACGCTGACTACCATCGGTTTTGGGGATTACGTTGCCTTGCAGGTAAATTCGTATTGCCTGATAAATTTATTATTTCGTCAAACCTTTACCAACACGTTGGAACTTACTGAAATCTTATCAGAAAGAAGTTGGAATTCGTTGATATTTTCAGTGAATTAGTGTAAGATTCGTGGAAATTTCACTTTCATTGTTTCTTTTTTGTTGCTTCACTGTTGTAAATCTTCGATGAAAAATTAATTAATGTCCGATTTCCTCGTGTAATTAATAATTCTACACAGTTAATAATTTCTACAGAATTACTAACATACATATTGCAGAACGACCATGCGCTTTCCAATAAACCTGGATACGTGGCCTTAAGCTTAGTCTTTATACTATTCGGTCTGGCCGTCGTCGCTGCCAGCATAAACTTACTTGTCCTCCGCTTCATGACCATGTGAGTACATGCTTCATCGTCTCAAAGCGTGCGCATATATCTCACGTGTCCTCTTTCACTTATCGCCACTCTGTCTTTTAAGACTGCGCTGTACATATAGGTCACGTCGAAGATGTCACTCTCCGACAATTTTATTCACATCTCATGAATTGTTGCAATTGTAATTATTTTATAATTATTTTTCAAGACGAGTTGAGTTCGAAATTTGATTGATATTATTCTCAAGAAAGCTGTGAATATTGAGAAAATTTCTCCATTTCGTCTGCGACAAAACAAGAATTATTTTACAATTATTTTTCATGATGAGTTAAGTCGAAATTTGATTGATTGATTATTCTCAAGAAAACTGTAAACATTGAGACTTTTATTTTGTCCATTTCGTCTGCAACAAAATTATTTTACAATTACTTTTCAAGACGAGTTGAGTCGAAATTTGATTGATATTATTCTCAAGAAAGCTGTGAAATACTGAGAAAATTTCTCCATTTCGTCTGCGACAAAACAAGAATTATTTTACAATTATTTTTCATGATGAGTTGAGTCGAAATTTGATTGATTGATTATTCTCAAGAAAACTGTAAACATTGACACTTTTATTTTGTCCATTTCGTCTGCAACAAAATTATTTTTACAATTACTTTTCAAGACGAGTTGAGTCGAAATTTGATTGATATTATTTTCGAGAAAACTGTAAGCCTTGAGAAAATTTCCATTTCGTCTGTAACAAAACAAGATTCCAATTCCATGATATCGAGCTGTATAAAAAGCACGGTTCTGTAATTAAACGTTGAACAAATTAAACAGGAACACGGGTGACGCTCGTCGCGACGACGAGCTTCAGCCAGCTTCGCATCACGTTCTAACGTTAGACGGCGAGGTGGTCGCCGTAAATGGGAAACTGTTGGCTGGCCACGTTCCGATAGTTCACGACACCGACGACTGCGTGAGCGTGTGCTCGTGCACGTGCCTCGGGCCACCCAATTCCGAGCTTCTGGACCAAGGCTACCAAGGATACAGGCCACCTTCGACCTCGAGCCTTCGCGTGAAACGCGCATCCGTCTGATGGAAGGAGTTCCGCCGTCGCAGTTTACGTCGTCGATTGTCGAGAGCCGACAGCAGAGAGCTACTTGGCATCGACGTGTAAGAAAATAATCCGACCCCGAGATAAACCAGTATAAACCAGAGAAAGAGATTGAACGACGAAGATATTCCGGAAAAGTTCGCGTGTCGATGGGAGAGATGGCGAAATTGAAAGTAATTTCATCGACACACCCCCGATGGAATTGTTCGAGGCGACTCAGATTGGACGAACTGAGTTGGAAACTGTGTTCTTACAAAGATCTACCTTAACTCGCTCGAGGACCCCCCGTTCGCGCACGTTCATCGATTTTTGAAGATGTATTTTGATGGGAGCCAGTGACGTTCGAAGGTGATTTCAAAGTTGAATAATTACGAGTAGCCGTAGAGAGGATGAAGCCGGGAGGATGGTGTTTGATCGTTTGTAGACGATTTTGTAACGATTTCGTACGTTTTCATATGTCGTTCCACGGAACATTGTCCCAAACACGGTGAATTTTGAACGCAATTGAAATTCGCAGCGCGGCGTTCGTGCCGCGTTACGTTCATTGGACGATTATATTGGAAATATTGAGACTCGTAGAGTAGTCGTGACAATTTGTATTTGTATCGGTATTGCGAGTTGAAATCGAAGAGGGTTGCTTCGTTCTGGAGATGAATTGAATTTCTTTGAACCAAATTTCGAATTAATTCTTTCGATTTTCGCCATGTGTGTTCTACGTTAGTAAAAATTTTTTCTATGCTGTAGAAAATAACGTAAATTACAGCAAAACGATGCAATTGCTTAATTTTTTAAGCATAAAATCCTGCTTATTCATTATGTCGTTCATTAAGTTCTGCGAAAAGATTATTGAAACTTTTTAAAAAATTTTTAATTTTTTGATTCACATACGAAAGTGTTTCTTTTCTTCTATGTATCAAAATTTGTTAAACGAGTCAAGCTAGTCAAGAGGAGTATGTTTCTAAATTTCAATATTTGAAAATATTCTAAGGACAAAGCAATCCTCGTAAAAGGGAAGATAATCTCGTTTTGATGAAAGTCGATCAAGTAGAGATATCGATCTCGGTTATTTATATGCATACCGAATATATAAAGTATAAACAGAACAATACCCAGGCCTCGTTAGCGTGATTGTTAAATACGTATTATACAACTCGATGTTTGTACCAAAATAGATGTAAAAGCTGAAAAACGACGATTGTAAATCGTCGATCGGCGAGAAGAAGAAGAAGAAGAAGAAAAAAAGAAAATCGAATTTAGAAGGTAGCGTGATTTTGTAGCTACGAAAATTGCGATCGTACAATTTTCTAGAATCGTAAAATGATAAAAATTGAATAACAATTTTACCGTACTCACGACGCGATTCACCAAGAAACATATACGTACGTACGTTCGGGCGTTATATTTTTTAAAGCTAAGACTAGAGAGTACACCAAACGACAAACAGTAGTATCCGGGAAGACTGATAGTTGAATTAACTGGCTAGTTGGTACTTTTTTAACAAACGTTTCTCCAGCCGCCTGTTTTAACCCTCCAGAGGTTAGAAAGCGAAGTATACCTGTAATTTCAATACTTGTATCTTTATGTTATTTGCGAATTGAAATTTGTCAAAATTATATGTTAAATAACATGGCAATTAACATAGTGGTTCCTAGGTATTTTAGGTGTTCAAGATACCGTTGAAGTTTTGAATATTAAAGAAAATTTAGGCATCTTAGGCATTAATTTTGAATAATTTCTATAGCGAGTAGGAGAAATTTAAATTCTCAGAAGACTCGAAAGTTTCGATATTCTAAATATCTGGAGGAATGTTGAAATATTTAGTTGAGGAAAGCATGTTCAAATATTCCAATATAGAAGTCAGACTGATCAATGCCAGTTTCTGAATTTCAGTATCAGAATACGCGATTTAAATGTTTCTGTTTTCACAGCCATTGGTAAAAGATTGAAGCCTTGAAAATAAAGTAATAACATAACTATATTTTACTCGGGACTTATTTTTCTGAACTTCGGACAATTATTATTTAATTAAATTCAAAGAGATAAAAAAGCAAAATTGATTTCCACGAAGTGAAATGTTGATTAGTCTGACTTCAGGCGAAAAATTGTGATGGCGAGAAACGTGCTCAAGAATCAAAGTGCATTAAACATAATAACCAAACTGGATTGGAGGGTTAAAACATTTTATGTCCCATTGTCTCTTTTGAATTCGAACTTGGAGTTGCCATCGATTACAATATCGAACGCTTCCTTTTCTTCCCAGTGACGTTCTGTTTTCGTCGATTATCGAGATTCGATCGAAGCGATCGACACACGCACAAGAAAAGCAGAAAGCAGAAGCATTCTGTTCGTTCGGCAAAATCAGGATCGATCGTTATTGAAAAATCGCCACAGCATGCACACAGAGTAAACGATAGCGCGCACTCGTTTGTATACATGTACCTTAGTTCATAGGTGCTCGCCGTATTCTAGCGATAGCACAGAATTGGGTATATTTTTTATCATCGACAGTTTTTTAATAAACGACCGTTCACTACCTTGTTCCTCACGCTAATTTGTTCTCTGCCTGTTTTCAGTTGCGTCCAGTGGAAATTGACGAGCTTCGCGTCGCTATTTTGACAACTGCTCTTTGGCAAAACGTTTTAGTCTGTGAATTTTTGAGCCGAGAGTTGAGAAAGAGCTGCTTGTTGTGAAAATAAGACAATATCGAAGTAAAATTCTCAGAGATTTTAGATTGTATAAAAATTATCAAGTTCAAAATTTGAAAATTACGATTTGAAGTTGAATGTTCAACCTTCGTGGGTTAAGATTAAGTCAAAGTGTTAAAAATTATAGTTCAGTGAATCGTAATTCAAAAGTATAAGGGATTCAGTGTCTAAAGTTATAACTGGGAATTGAATTTGAAGTCTAAAATTGCAAATTACAAATTACAAATTTCAGCTCTCGAATTAAAAAGAATTTATATCCCCATAATAAAACTTACTAGACAGATTAAAGGAAGCAGTTGGAGGAATTTTAATCATGGAGGAGCATATATGTGGCTTGCAGAACGGTGAAAGGAAAAAGACGTTTACACACATTTTTCAAATCGGTGGAAACACGCCGAGAACGAAGATGCACTTCGACAGTATGGCGCAAGTGTCTGCCGAGAGAGAAAGACACGCCGCTTACTGGTGTATCATTCATCCTTTTAGCAATTGGAGGTATCTGTGTGAAATAATTAAAAGAAAGAAAGAAAAAAAAAAGAGAAACAAATAGAAAGAAATTGCCTTTTTAAAAAAGCGATTAAATAGATACCGTTTTCGCATTCTTGAGAAATTTTTTAGATTTTTCTGGGACTTGATAATGACGGTGATATACCTAATCGCATTTCTGACAATCCCATTCTCAGTTTGCTTCATCATAATGAGCCACGATGAGGTTCTAATGGATAAATTCAATATTTCAATTTATACTTTCTGCTGGCTCGACATAGTATTCAACTGCTTCACTGGATATTACGATAAGAACAGCATGCAGGTGGAATTGAATCCCTCGAAGATATTCCTGTAATTTGTTTATGTTTTAATACTGTAGAATTCTTGTTAAGTTTTAATCGATTTGAATCGAATCTCATGATGGTGCAAAATATTTTGGACGAAGGTTTAAAAGTTCAGAAATTCGAGATGAATGATATTTGGAATGACTTTTTCATAAAAAGATACATTTGATTTAAAGTTAATTACAGTTTTGCGAAACGTCGTTCAGAAACAAATCACTTTGTGAGCCAATTTCCAGTTTCCATTGAAATAACGTTTTATTTTGATTTTTGATCCAGAAATTTTAGAACTACACAATTGAAAATTTAAAAATAACAGGAAATCGTTCGATTTTCGTACGAATTTTTAATCGAGAAAAATTTTTTCTCCACACAGAAACTATCTTAAAACTTTTCTCATATTGGACGTCGTCTCGTCATTGCCATGGGATCATATAACTTTGCCTTGGCGAACTGTTCCCGGAAGAGAATCTAATCACTTAGTCGCTTTACTCAATCTCCTACCTTGTTTGAAGCTGTCGCGTTATGGCTACGTCAATAAACAAATTTCCGAGCTTTTCATAGTAACTATCCTTCTTTAAACTCGAATGAAATTCAAAAGACATTCAGACAAATATTTAGATACAGGTATACACCATTGTTACAAATAACTTTGTTTCTCGAACATTTTAGTATTTCGAAATTATGCACTTCTATTATGAAATGTTCGCCACCCTCATGATGGGATTTTACATAATGTACTGGTCCTCGTGTCTGTGTTATTTGATCCCAGTGTTGGTTTTGCACTTCAGCAACTCCTCGCACGACGTAAGTGATCAGAATAGTGACAGAACCTGCCGTATTAAGTTCAATTTGTGTACAATGATTTTGCAATTGATCTTGAAATACTATCGTTAATGAAAATTCACCGGAGTACGGCTTTTTAAATTTAAAAATTAACGAAGTCAAACAAAATATTATATATTAGAAATGATAGGAAAATTATATTATATTTTTACACAAAGCAGAACAATAATATTGCTACAAGTGAAATTTCATTCGAGGCAGCCTTAACAAATTAAACAGAAAATTTGGAGAAATTATGATACATTAAAACTTTGTGCTAAATCAATGAACGTTACGTTAGGAATGTCCCGAATGTTGGATGACAGGATTAGACAGTGACAGCATAGCCTTCAGGTTCCAATACGCGCTGTTCATCGTCGTGGAAAAATTGTCAGCGAGTGGTTACGGTGGCTACGTGCCAGACACCGACGGGCACATAGTACTGAGCTGCGCCCTTATGCTCATTGGCAGGGTGCTCGAGTGTTATATCGCAGGCATGGACATTTTTATCACTTTTCTCGAATCGCAATCACAAACCTCCATGATAACGAGACTGATTAAATTTCAAGTGATGCTGATTCAAATAAAGGCGGGAAGGATGGCGTCGAAATTGAAGTTCCAAGAAATAATCAATCAGTTAGGCGCGTACACGTGCCAGAAGCAACTGCCGGCGCACATGAAGATTCGTCTTCTAGCTTATTATTATTGCCGCTTTAGAAATAGCTATTTCCGCGAGAAGAATATTCTGTCCCAACTGTCAGGTAACGAGATCTCCAATTGTTGGAATGTTGCTACGTTGTTAAGTTGTTAATTTGGCGAGGTTCAGGCGAGTTTGAATCGTTGCGATTTAGAGAGGCTACGTCAGGAGATTGCTTTCCAATCGAGTCACCGTTTGATTGAGAACGTAGCGATATTCAAGGAATTGCCCAAGTCCGTTTTGCGATTGATCGTGAAGCATTTGAAGTTCGAGCTTTATCTGCCGAACGACGTGATCGTGAAAGCTGGAGCTGTCGGCGATTGTATGTTCTTTCTGTCTGCCGGAACCGTGGCTGTTCTAACACCCACTGGGAAAGAGGTATTGCTCCAATTACTCGAATGTATTTTTAACAATATTATTAACAACTCGAATGGTGCGTTAATTCCATTAGTTATCAAAATTGACCTTCTGAAGAGTAACGTCACGTCGATTTCATCTAGCGAAAATCAAACCTCATGCGTTCGATTTTCCTTTCTGTATGAACCTCTGATCTCTTCTTGCTTAAATTATACACGCATTAATGCAGAAAATATTTAGAAAAACCACTTGCTTTTATTAATACCACTTTCTTGTCTTCAAAATCAAATTCCTTCTTATTTACATTTCCAATGTCTCCTCCTGCTCCAATTACACTCCAATTATGATAATAAAAAAAAACTATCGAGGAAATATATCTGCTTTTAATTTTATTATCAAATTGACACCATGAAACTTCATTCTATGTGCATCATATTTCTTCTTAAATAGGAGCACTTTCCCGGTTCGGATTTTACTCGTACTCGGTATAAGAAAAAAGTTCGAATCTCCCCCTTTAAAATGCCTTTTGGTTTATGGTTCTATGATTTTTCGTTCCCGAGATATGCCAGTTTGAAGTGAACGATAATTTGGAGCGCTCGGTTGTTGCTGTCCTTTTCGCACATTTCGGACCTCTCTCTCTCTCTCTCTCTCTCTCTCTCTCTCGCACGCCCCCTCCCTGACCTACCGCATGCGCGCAGGTCAGTTACGCGTGGGGGTAGCGTACTACGCGCGTACGCACGCTAGAAACTATGTCACACCGTTTCCGGGAATTTCGGTCATTCATAAAATTTTTGCCAATTCGCACGGATCGCTTTAAATCGCCATATCTCCGGAACCACACGAGCTATCGACGTGAAACGAACAGCATTTTAAAGAGCATGCTCCCCGCTACATTTCTGACCCATTGGCAATTAAATTGAGCTATCGGCGCGGGTGTAATCTTTTGTTAGATTTTCAAACTGCATTGTTGATAGATTGGACGAATTTTATGACAATCAAAAAAAAATGAATTTAATGTTTAACAGTGGAGAGCGTGCAATGTCTTTCTGAGGTTGCCAACGATTATAGTTTCTTAAATTTATTAATAAAGATTTAATTGGAGCAAATCACGTGGCAATTGAACAATAAATTTAGAAAGGAACCAATCAAGATTAGTTATTCGGGACTGAAATGAAATGATCGTTGCAATTTGTTTAATTTTCTTATCATATTTCGCCAGCAATCTCTGTAGCAATTGATGCACCAATCATTTACGTAAGACAGAATGTTCTTTTGACTCATTTTCTTATTTCCGTTTCATAAAATTTAATTGCTCGAGGGAGACAACGAGTGTTTGAAGTAGATCTTGCGATTTTATTGTCGATCGTTTTCTAGATCTGTCACCTGAATGACGGAGCCCATTTCGGAGAGATAGCGCTTCTAGTTCCTGATCAGAGGAGGGTCGCGAGCGTGATCGCGATCGAGGTGTGCGAGGTGTACCGTTTGGATCGTAAAAACTTTCGGAAATGCATCGCCGTGCACACGGAGTTATTCGCCAAGATCGAGAAAATCGCGAGCGAGAGGATCGAGAAAGCTATGGTCGTCGAAGAACAGCATAAACGTCATGCCAGTGTTATGCAAAAGACAGTGTTATGAAAAAAAAAAACTCTTCGAATGAAGAAACGAAACACATTACTGCAAAAGAAAATTAATTCAGATAACGTATATACGTAACAGTGTGTTCAACAATAGCATGCGTAATGATATGTTCGATAATAATAAGTTAATGTAGCAATTAAGTTAGCAATAACGTTTGTGCTTGTTAAATATACAATATGATGACGAGGATTTATGTGCAATAAAACGTCGTTGAAAAAATTCGCGTGTCTGTTAATTACGAGGAGGATTGAACTCTTTTGGCAAATTGTTTTGTATATTTTTTTCTTCTGATTGCAATATTGCACGATTTAATGTTAAAAGTAATAATAGTCTGACTGAGTAAGAGGAAAAAGAAAGTGATTTTCGTGAAATCGTCGCAGTTGACAGAAGCAAAAGTTCCTCGACAAGAAAAGTAATCATGCTAATCGTTTAACCATATATTTAAGGATCTTATATATTATTATTGTCCATACAATGTTTGTATAGTGGTATTCCTTTACATCTACCTTTATTTTATATATAATTATATATTTATATTTATATTATATTTTAATCGTTACCTAAGGTATAACTTAGAGTTACAAATACACTCACTAAAATCTTTAGCGCTGTCGCGATGTGTGTGTTTGTATGAGCTATATGCATGTATAGATAATACACTGGGAACACGTATATACGATCAATTCGATCTCTTTTTCGCCCCTTTTGTTTCTGACAAAGTTCCTCTTGCTTTTCTTCTGGTAATTTATGCTTAAATCCGTCGTCGGTGGCACTCGTAGCGACAATCGTAGACACGATCGACTCGTCGACGATTTTCCTTGAAAATTGCTTCTCTTTAGTCTACATAAGAACGCGCCGGAGAAAAAATTTTCGTCGGAATGATCTCTGTCGATTCTACGCGAGGTACGTTCCACACACTGTTTGCTTAGCAGTTATCCTACAGAAATTGAAAAAAAAAAAAAAGAGAGAACTTCTTACCTTTCGAAAATCGTGAAACACGGGGAATATAGTTAAAGAAATAGAAAATTATTCGGTTAAAATGGTTTCTACTTGCGCTTGCGTCTCTCTCTACGAAAATGAAATCCACGAGGTCCAAGCTCCAAGTAATGTAATTAAACTAGGATTGATTAGTCGCGTTATATTATCTTAGTATGCTTCGATTATCTGCGTATATAATTACAATATCGTTACAACTATCATAGCCATTCTAAACATCACTATAGGGTTAGTTATCGTTACGTATCGTGACTACCTTTGCGAGGAGATTACCGAAATATGCAGAAAACGCAACGGATATACCGGAGGATATTCTTTCGATGACGTGATCGACGAATCAACCGGTCACGATCGTTCCTACGAGTCTTACAAAACTGTCTCACACACCCGAGCAGTATGCCCGGTATGATAGATCGATTACACGAGTGTAGCACGTAATACAGGGGTATAATTATATACATGTCTAGCGTGTAACGTGTGTAAGTGAATGCGTGGCCATTGTACAGACTTAAAAATCACACGGTAGAAATATAAATTATTTACTATTAGAATATAGAGAGAATCTACCAAACGTTACCGAACACCTTTTCCTCTTTCCTTTCGACGTCACTTCTCGATAAAGACGATACACTCTTTTCTACGTTCCTTTTTGTTTCCTTTTTTTATATATATATATATATATATTTTTTTTTTCTGTTATGATATGCGATCGGTAAGATATATACCTATATGTAAACTAGGAGAATTTATGCTATTTATACATTTACTAAACGATGTCGTGTTGCTACGTTATTACGATCGTGTGTCGTGTGTCCTAGTTTGGTCACCATCTAAAGGAGCACGGAGGAGAAGAGTACTCAATATCTTTTCATCTTTGCATTTTCATTTTCTTCACTACGATCCCTCCGAACGAGGAAAAACTCCGAAATTCCGTGATATTTGCAAGAATCAATTGCACTGCGTTTCTCGTTTCTCTTCGAGGCAACGCCGCAACAATTTTCGACGATTTTCACCGTTTCGAATTTTTCGCTGGATAAGGAAACTCAATGTATCGGAGGGATAGTTTTTATCTAGGCTATTATAAATTCCTGCGATTGAAAAATCATCCGAGACGCTACTGTTCCGCTTATTTTACACTAACGTGGTAAAGTCTGTATGTAAAGTTTTATTTAGCACTCCTTCCTCGAGACACTTTACGAAGGGCTTCTAATAAGGCACTGTCATTTACTGTGACTGAAACGATCAGACGAAAGAAGAATGTCTTTTCCATTGTTTTCCCTACGGTTCCGTGGATTCTTTCCATCATCGAGTGAAACTTACGCTTATATACGCATATATGTATATAATATTTATAATATAGTTGTATAAATGCTTTTGGTACATTTCCCTTCGGAAATAATTTTGACAAGCTACGAGCTACTGATATTTCTGCCACGTGTTTCAAGATTAAGAGAATAAGCCGTCTGTCGTGCAAGATTCGTCAACGACACGTGTATCATGCATTTTTTCCCCCCCTATTTTATACGTGCATATGTCAATTATTGGAAACACAATTTTTTCTTACATTAACCTTGTAAAGAAATTTAGATCAATTTTGCCGATGAGAGATACGTTTGTAACTTGTTAAAATTACACGCAAGCATCGGTGCAGGGAGAATAATTTTAATTTCGAAACAATCAAATAATGAATTCAGAGAAATTACGTTGACATATCTTCAAACACATACAACAAGCTTCAGACTAATTTTCAGGCGAGTTCAGAACCGACAGAACTTACGCTCTTATTCCGATAAACAACGAGGACCCACGATAGATGATACAGCATACATAGTAACAGTGTGTAGTTAACATTATACGATTAAAATGCTCAGGAACAAATATATAAATGCAACACGTTAATATGGTGAAAAAAGGTGCGTATCGTGATCGAATAATCGATGAATTTGTCATTAAACTCGACACTCTTTCAATAAGCTCCGCAATCGAAGTTCGCAACTAGATGGAAACTTGCAACACTTTCGTGCTCTTCTCCTAATTTCATCGTTATGTTCTAACCGACGGTGTCTGTCGAGTACAGTTTCGCAAACGAAACTACGTGGAATTGTCGGAGAATCGAGACGATCGAAATTTCTTCTTGCTCGTTCTTCGCGAGACGAGTTTTATCGTCGTTTACGATGTTGCACCCTCGCGTTATCGACGATCGTCAAACGTCGTTCGATCAATGATAGAGGGCTAATAATTCGTGCTATGGCAATAATATCGGTAAGGAATATAAGTAATAACAATATCATAGAGTATATAAATGGCGTACTGCGTAATAAACTATTTATATTGTACAACGTAACGTGCGTATATGCTTCGTACAAATAGGTACAAGTTCCCCGTCCCGCCGATTCCCTGTCTCTTTGTTTCTTTTCTTTTCTTTTCTTTTTTTTTCGTATTACTCGATCGGTTTGGCTTTAGATGTTGATCCGACTTGAAAGAAAAGAAAGAAAGGAAGACATAGGGATCTCAACTCGTTCACTCGCGACACTTTCTTTGTTCGATTGAAGCTCTTCCATCCGCGTTCATCCGCGTCGGTCAAATTGATCGATAGATCGCGTGGACCCTCTCTTAAAAATCCTCTCTTCTCTTTCTCTTTCGGGAATGAAACATTTGTCAAAAATTTAAGAGAAACGCGTGAAGAATTTCGGAAGAATTTGCGAGACTGAGAGGGAAGATTTTGCTTCTTCTCGATTTAAAATCTCTTAAATTGAATTAAATGGAGACAGTAGTAGGTTCCATTCGAATCGTTTACGTTAGAGGAAAATAAGTAGATAGAATGTCGATGTATCTTAGAACACCGATGAATACACAGATTTCTAAATCTACTCCAACTTTCGGCTTCTAATATAATATTTCGTCGCGTGATTCCAGGCTTCGTTCCGAGATATCCAACGTGACAGTAACGCGAACGAAATAGAGGGTTAAGTGAAAAGAAAAGCAAATACCGATCGATCGATCGATCTGTTGCGGCTTCGACCGACTAGGATTCTAGCGTCAGATCGTATATACATACATAAAACGAACAACGACGAACGACGACGACGTTGAAACAAAATTGAAGAAAGAAAAAAAGAGACAGCAGCGATTAAAAAGAGAGAGAGAGAGAGAGAGAGAGAGAGAGAGAGAGAGAGAGAGAGAGAGAGAGAAAATAAGTCATCTTTTGCGTCTCGTCGTGCGACTCGTCCTCTTCGCGCACCTCCGTCTCGCTGTTGCTTAATTATATATTAAAGGTATCTATGTATAGACGTTCTAAGGCTTTGGCAGTGAATTAACGTCACGTTCACGCGGCACACGCTCGAGACGTTGAATCGAATCGAATCGAATCGAATCGAACGATCACACGGTCTCGTCGTCGTTTTCCTCCGTTTCTCTACCAACGATACGTTCAAGAGCCGGTTCTCTCCCTCTTTTCTTCACGCGTCCAGGTCCTCTTTTGCACAATAACTTACTTTAATTAATAACATTATCGAATCAAGACAAGTTACAATTTTGCATTTCGTGCACTTTCTTTCCCTCTGTATACGCGTGTATATGTAATGTTACCGCACAATCCTGTTTTCAATTCTTAATAATCTCACGATCTCATCTCTTTTCATTGGACTGATCGCAAAATTTCAGAATTTGACAATCTCTCGTATCGTGAAAGCTTTAAACCTTTTGATCTTGCAATTTCTTAGCAAACTGACAACACACGCGACATCCAAGGTGTTTCAAATAAACTCTTCGTTATCGATTTGAAAACCGGACAGAAATCTCGTATCAAAACTTAAAATTCGCCATGCCTAAAAATCCGCAGTATATAAATCCTTGTTTGCTTGTTGGCGCAACGTCGATGACTTGTAACTTGTCGAATTTCACTAACGATAGTAATCAAATTATGCAAGAGAGAGCTGTTAATCGTTAATTGTTCTTCGTTTTGCTCGTCGGTCTCACCGGATATGAACGAAGAGCTGTCTTAGACGAGGGTCTTCAGGATGTACCTTCGCCTCCTTCTCAACGTGTTCAGATGAGGCCCTCTGGAAGGAAGTTGGCCAGCCTCGGTGCACGATCGACAGCAGAACTTCGCGTAGTATTTGTGCGTGCAGTATCTCGCTTCCACGATCAGGTCGCACTTCGCGAAGAACGAGTTGTCCTGGCAATTCGGGTGAATGAAGATTCCTAGTAAGAGAAATTGAAATTGATTTCTTGAGAATTCGCGCCCTTTTAGAGGTAATAAATTTGAGAGAACAATCCGAAGAATAATCTTTCACGCGTGAACGCTTGAAATTTGAAAAATTCTGTGACGACTTCGAATCGATGTCAATTAACAGATTCATTCGAATAATTTTAAGATTAATTTTAATTTTACAGATTTATCTGAATAATTTTTAAGATTAATTTTAATTTTAAATCTCGAATATACGCAGAATACGGATGACATAAGAATTTACCAGCAACTTGTATGTCGACTGTAGAAGTGGCGGACGAATAATCGTTGTTCGCTTCGCAACGATATCGGCCGGAGTCTTCTCGATTCGCCACGCTGATCACAAGTCTGTTCAAATCTGTAAGTGAGCGTTCCAGAAATTTCGCAGTGAGTTGTTTCACAATTTCCTTTTATTCTCTCGGATGGTGTTGCTACTCACCGGTAATTTGAATCCGATTGTTCGGATGAATCAATTCGTTGTCCTTGTACCAAGACACTCGAGGAATCGGATATCCATCGACGTTGCAAGCGATGGTGATGTCGCTGCCTTCCGGGAATTGATTCTGTCCTATCGATATGTTGGCTGTGACAGGCACTGTGAAACAATCGATCACGTTACGTTAAGAAACATTTGCGAAAAAACATAAAAATCAACTTGAGCAAGTTGACTGTGAACTTACCTTCTTCATTAGACTTCGTTCGATCGATGTAATTAACTATTGTTAACAACGTGCATGCAAGTGTTACGGTGCAGCGTAGCATACAGTATAAGCGAAGCATATCGAATTGCTTTCAGAATTGTTAAATTCTGAAGAGAAAAGAAATAAGAGAAAGAGAAACCCCAGTTGCACTGTAATGTCGAAAAATAGACGTCAAGATTCGGAATTCATCGTAACGTGAAAGTGAACAAACATAGTTTTACAATAGAAATAGCAAACTTGAAACCTAGGAGGAGTCCCAACGTCAAATGAACAATACTACAAATTTTTCTCTTCTCTATCTTAATCTTAAACTATTTTAATTTGCAAAGTAACAGAGAAACAGATTGATCCTCTCCTCTTTAAACTTTCAGAGAAACTTCAGATCCCGACAGTGCAACGAGGAAACTCTGAAGAAGAAAGAAACCGCCATAGATCACTCTCTCACCTCTAAACTTGGTACCATAGTCCAAAGTAGTGTATCCAATGGGACTGGCCGTAGGAACGTGAAATTGTCTGGTGGTGTACGCGGGTCCGTACGTATGGGAGTCGGAAGTTTGAGTTCTGTTAGGTCTGTGGGGATACTGAGGTCTCTCGTGCTTTCTAGGCGGATCGACCAAGTACTTGAGATACTTCTCGTACTCTGGCTTCACATTGTACACCGGGCCGACAGCTTGCAACGTCACCGACCAGGACGCAGCTCTGCCGATCGCGTTGAACGCTTGACAGGTGTACACGCCCAAGGTTGGCAGTGTGACAGACCGTATCAAAAGCGTGTACTCAGAGTCTTGCTCGTAAAGCTCCGAGGTAAGTGGCAGCATGCGATCACCTTGCCACCAAGTGACGAAAGGCCTCGGCCAGCCCCATGCGTAGCAGTGCAGAGATATAGGCGAGTTCATGGTGACCGTTACGTGAGTGTTAGGCTCTCCGACGATGGCCGCGGCCAGTTCTTTCGGTTCTGCATAGTACGTGAGAGAAAACAGCATGCAGAAGTGTGAAACATTGGTTGGTTGTCAAGAAGAGGACAGATCTGAGTAGTTCTTTTCTTTTTAACACCGAATTTTTCTTTAACCTCTGGTGAAATTGTATCGACGATGAAGATACTTTTTTTTTTTTTTTTTTTCAAGAGTCAGTTTGAGAAACAGAATTTGGTTATTTTTAGTAGAGAATTAGTATTTTTAAGCTCTGTCTTTTTTCTTCTTCTCGAAGTTAGCTAGTGAAGTGGAAGATAACGTGTAAACTATGTGTAAACTACGGTACAAGAAGAAGCACAAGTGTGGAAATATATTAAAAATAACATTTAGAATCAGTGATTTCGCAATCCTCTGGAACGAAAAGATTCTATCACTACGTTATTAAACACAGGAAGAGGAAATTCGTTAGACTAGCTACTGAGCTCATGATGCAGAACACATCTACCAAACACCATCAAGAGAGTATTTACTTCAAATAATGGGTACGTACCTGTGACCACCAATTGGTATTCCGCTCTTACCGGTGGCCCTAAGCCATTGTCAGCTGTGCAGACGTAAGTCCCGCCGTCGTATCGGTCTAAATTGATGATCTGAAGAGAACCGTCCAGCAATATGCGACGCCTGCTCTCTGAAGCTGCAATCTGCAGACATCAATCCTCGCTTGTTATCAAAATTCAATGTTCGATATATCAATTTTCGAACACGGAAATTGATTATTTTAATAAATAATTCCATTTGTTTCCAATGAGTTTCGAAATCATGTAAATTTCAATTTTATAATTTAATTATATGTATATTTGATAATTTAATTATATATTTTGTGAACTTTTTTTTGGTCAATTTTGTAATATTTAATTATATCTTTTGTAAACTTCTTTTTTGGTCAATTTTGTAATATTTAATTATATATTTTGTAAACTTTTTTTGGTCAATTTTATAATATTTAATTATACATTTTGTAAACTTTTTTTTTTGACAATTTTGCAATATATATTTAATTATATATTTTGTAAATTTTTTTTGTCAATTTTGTAATATTTAATCATATATTTGATTCGAAGCTAAAATTTTATTTTGTAGTAGTCTAGTTAGTAAAAAATCTTACCAGCGTCGTGCCCTTCCTCCACGTAACGGCTGGTTTTGGATTTCCTAGGGCGATACACGTCAATGTTACGTAGCCACCCTCTTGAGCGCTGACTTTCGGCTCTTCCGGTTGCTTGATCGAGGCTGGTTCCGCTCCAACTGGTGGTACAGTGACCGGTACTCTTGGAGAAGTTGCTGGAACATCCTCCGCAGGTGGTTCGAGGCAGGATGCACCGCAGCCATTGTTGCAACATTTCATTTCTCCGGCGCAATCCGCGTCTGTTAGACATTCCTGTTCGCACCTTGTGCTGTTCGACACGCTTGGACATTGGCCTGGTTTCGTAACTGGATGGAGAACCATGTCGTTTGTATAATAATTCGTTAATTAAATTCATTATATTGTAAATTCATATATAACGGAACACCATTCGTATGATAATCCATTAATTAAATTCAATTCATACAATAATTTCTACTCGTATAAAATAATAATTCAATTCATATAATAATTCATTGCAGTTGAAGTAAATACATTTAAAAGTATCATGAAAGTACCAAGGCTGATGAATAATCTCAGAGCAAGAGACATTTGGAATAATTTGCACTTGTAATTTAGAACTTAATGACTTTTTAAAGTCTATATTATAACAATTAATACTGTGTGTGTTATTTATATTGGTATTATTATTATACGGATTTAATCTAATTTTATTCATACAAATTTCAATAAAGATATTTTTCATTTGCTTCTTCAAAACATAAGAAGAATATAGAGAACTTTTTTTTTTTTTTAAATATAGAAACAGAGAGTCACCTGATCTGCAAACTCCCTTGTATTCGGTTCCATCCTTGGTAGCGACCAGAGTGATGGCGCATTTCGTGTTGTCTGGACAAATCTGCGTCCTGCAAGGATCCACGCAACGACATCGCTCACAATCTTGAGAATCTACGAACGCCTCCTTGCCGTAAGGGCAACGAATGGTGTTGCATTCCTCGCGAGCTTCCGTGCAAGGATCCTTCGTGTCCTTTCCGGAGTCTACGTCGATCTCGTTGGTGGCTATCAGAAGGTACGTTACAATCACGTAAACGATGCAAATATTTTTCAAAAAAGAAATATACAAAAACGTAACGACAAAAGAGTGACAAGAGAGAAAAAAAGAACACATTGCGATAAAGGCAATATTACAACGTTGCTTCTAGCAGGATTTCAAAGCTCAGGGGACAATTAAAGCTGACTGGATGTACGATTGAGAAATAAAAAATCTGGAAAAATAAGAAGCGTGGTGTTTTTTTGTAAAATCACGGGGGAAAAGACACGGCACGGATATATCTAAACAGACATTTTTATCTCGGAGAAATTATAACGATGATTAGGTAAAAATAGAGGAAAGTTTACAACGCAATAGAGAACATAAGTGATTCTTAATATCAAGAAAAATACGTATTTAGCTAGAGAAAATAATACAAAACAGATAATGTAACAGATAATAAACTCTAAAATTAATAAAGAAATATAAAATAATATAAAATGAAATAATTTTCGCAAAAACTGTCTCCCCATAAAAGTGACAAACGCGAATTATCCTGTTCTTCTCCTTGTAGTCTTTAGAGATAGAGAAAGGACGTTAGGGAACAGGATTTAAGACAACATCGATATAAAAACATCGAAAGTACAATGTACAGCTATATACAACAGCAAATGTGTCCACGATGTTCGAAGCTGAAAATTGATAATAAAATTGAACAAAAAATACTAGTTGAATCGTCGGTGAACACGTTCTTCTCGACTTACTGCTAAGACAAGTGTTAATGCAAGACTCGAAGGTCTTGAATCGGTTACGATTTCCGCCGCATCCGGTGTAAATGAACGCTCGACACGTTTGCAGTTCCTCGTCGAAGTAGAATCGCTTAGTAGAACCGGACGTGCACGATCCAATGTCGACCGGCTCTTTACAAATCGCTGGATCACCATCGTACAAAATTATTTTTCCTGCCGCGTGTTAATTTCATTCCCTCGGGAAGAACTTCTCGATTTGCTTAATTCATCGAGAGGCGAAACAATTTTAAATTAAAATTTCACAATATCAGTTGGTTTCCGAATGAATTAAAAAAATTATAGAAATTCTTTCCGAGCGACGTCCTTTCACGTTTCGTTCAAAGATTTAAAAAAAAAAAATGATGAATTTCAAGGAACGCGAAAGTTACGGATGAAATTCTGTGAATCGAATGAGCGAAGATACATACACAGACTGGAAAGGCTTGTGTCGTTTCCAGATGGCACGGGCTCCTCGTGATGAATGCAAATCGATTCGCACTCTGCCATCGTGCTGAATCTGTTCGCGTTGCCCTCGCAACCGCCGTAGACAAATTCGCGACAAATGCGACTGACCGGGTCGTAGTAGTATTTTTGGAAGGAGCCTCTGCACTCGCCAGGATCCACCGGTAGATTGCAAGTATCTGCGGAAAATAGAAAGTTTCTTACATAATAACACTGATCAATTCGATCAAAAATCAAACAAATCCACAATCCACAAATGGAAAGTAATATTAAAGTTAAACATTCTGCAAATTAATTCTAAGATTGTCGAGTGAAATTCATACTTATGAACTCGTTTCAATATCACTGAATTTTAGAATATTGACTTACTAAATATTCCAAAATAAAATAGCAGAGAAAAAGAAAGAAAGAAAGAAAGAAAGATGGAAAGAAATTATAAAACGAAAATAAATCTTTAAAATTGTCAAAGACTCCTAGTAGATTTCTTGCTTGAAACGCTAGTTAAAAAAGTGACTTCGTGACTTTACATAGATCAATAATCTTTTAAATACCACAGTGTTTAAATATCGACGCTAGAATAAAGCATAAAATTTCCATCAGAGACGTTAAAGTGAAAGAAAAGAAAAAAAAAAAAAAACAGAAAATCTTTAGAATACAATAGGATACACAAGCTTTCATTTTATGAAGAAATTATTCAACTCTCCAAAAATATTGTTTTATATCTATGAAATATCTAAAAATATTCAAATGGTCATTTTGACCATTTTGGTAGTTGTAGCGTTATTAAGAATCGCACGGTTACCTTGTCCATGGAATTTTCCGCAGAGACGTTCGCACTGTTCCTCCGTCTGGAATCTATTCGCGTTTCCTTCGCAACCGCCATAGATGAACGCCTGGCACATCTGATTGTGTGCGTCGTAGTAAAACGCGGTGATGTCGCCGTTGCAAGAGCCAGGATCGACAGTCGCGTAACAAATGGGACTCTTCGAGCTAGTTTCCACTGGAGCAGGCGTGACGTGCGCGGCTACTTCTGTTCGACTACGTCTCTGACACTTGCTCTCGCATGATTCTTTATCCTGGAAGCGATTCTTGTTCCCTTGGCAGCCGCTGTACTCGAATTCGTAGCAGGAATCTGACTGATGATCGTAGTAGTATTGCCTCACGAAACCGTTGCAGGGGCCGACAACTTTGGGCAGAGTGCACGGATCTGGGGATAGAAATAAAGAGAAAAGGATAGATTGTCGAATCGTTGGAATAATGATCGGTGTGGTCTCTCTTGGACTGAATTGTTAACCAATGGACAAACTCGTGACGTACAACGATAAATTGAATACGATAAAATAAAGGAAATAGTTGAAGTTAGAGTGATTTATACCGACTAATTTCGTACGATTCACGAGTCAAAATGTTCAGTGTAGTAATTAAATATTATACTATAACAATACTAAATAACTTGAATATTGAAAAAATTCGTTACAAATCGTTAGAGATTAGAGACTAGTTTCTCACTCATTTGAAAGTTGCACAATCTAGATGTTTGTAAATTTTATTTTATCATCAAACTTATTGCTATAATGCAAGAAGATTTATCAGGCTCAATTCTCGGAGTGAATGCACGATGTAACGTTGCAAACCTTGCACGTCTCCACATCGATATTCGCATTCTTCGCGACTGTTGAAATTGTTTCCGTTGCTCTGGCAGCCGCCATATCTGAACTGTTTGCAGACACCCTCTCTGCTGTCGTAGAACCATTTGACGTGTTCCTCCGAACATGGGCCGTGCTCGTCCGGAAGGAAGCAGAAGTCTGCAAAAAGTTTCACGTAAATTTAAATCTAAATTTTTCATTCGTAAGTTGCATCTGCGACACGAGATAAGAAATTATAATAAATTATTTTACAAAAATAACATAATAAATGGCACTAAATAATATAGAATGTAATATACGTGAATGTAGAATATATATACGTAATATAAAATACGATAATAATAGACATTACTAAAATGACATAACATACGGTTGTCCATTGAAATTTTCATTTGTCATCTGTTTGAATTATCAATTACCAGGTCTAAATTCGACTTCTCTCGATGGCGCGGAGGTGGTGATAGTAGTTTGGCATCTGTTAACACAATCCTGTTCGGTAATGAAATTATTCTCGTTCCCACCGCAGCCACCGTAGTAGAATTGTCTGCATTGTTGCTCGTACGAGTCGTGGTACCATCGTTGGGTATAATTGTGGCATTCTCCCAAAAGCGCGGGCAAGAGACAGGTATCTTGCTCTGTATTTAAACGAAGATAGTAATAAGAACGTGCCAAACATTTGGATCACGGAGAAATGAAAAGTTCCGTGAAATCAATCAAATATTACTTTGAATCTTCGTCCAGTGCCAAGGCTAACACGCGTATCAAGTTTCGTACAAATTTTGCACGTCACTAATAAATGTATTGAACGTGTAAGAAAGAAATTATTGGCTAAGCTGAAAGCTAAAATATATAAGTACAAGCCAACAGAAACTTACGAAAGAGTATTTTCTATGTATTTTCATAAAACGCGGCGTTTTTTAAGGACAGTTTATTCAAAATTAGCTTGGCACTGAACGAAAATGATTCTTTCGAGATAACACCGCACGTTTCTCTCACTCTTCGACTCACAGAACTTTCCACCACACTCATTTGTTCAACAAATAAAGCAACACACATGAAATTAAAATAATACAAATATATCTACGTGATAGACGTATACCAAGAGTATACTGTTCTTGCACACGAGACGCGCGTTCGACATGTAATTCACAATACAACACAACATCTGCGTGCACGGGGGCAATAGACGTAGCAGAACGAATCACGCAGGAAATGAAAACGGAAACGATACTACGAAACGATTCAACGAAAGTCTCAAAAGAAGCGGCAACAACAACATGTTAATGTTAAGTTAGAAGCAAGTTACGTTAACGAAGACAGAACAGAAGAGGTGAAGTCTTACCAATTTTAGCCGGGCAATCAGACTCGCATGCGTCCCTAGATTCGAAATTATTTTTATTCCCACCGCAACCAGTATAATAGAATGGCATGCACCGATTCTCCGACTGATCAAAGTACCATCGAGACTGCTTCTCGCCGCAGTTACCTTCGGCTCGCGGCAGCAAGCAACTATCTGTTAATCGCATTAATTATAAATACTCGTGCAGTATTAGATACCATCTAGTGTGCATCGTTATTGACCATTTGCTGTTTTTCTGTAAATTAATGGACCGTTCATAGTCTTTGATCTACTTGCGACACCATTTAATAATTAATAATAATCGTATTATCGGAAGATTGTCACATCGCAAAATCGCAAATGGTCTGTTCACTAGCAACTACTCTTAAAGGTGAATGTTCTTCCAGTTCCTGAAAATACAAGCGTTGTTTCTGGCAGCTGTCTTTACACGATCTAAACACGATCGATTGGAAAGTCTGGTTTCTCTGAGTACCAACGCGAGACGAATTAATCAGGTAAAACGATTGCTAATGAAGGAAAATCGCGCTGCTCCATCGAGAGAACTCGTTCGAGGCCAGACAAAAGCCACGATTTGAACGATCGTTCTCTCGAGATGAGAACCCCATCCGCAATACGACAAAGTCGAGCCCCATCGATTCGAATGACTCGTGAAACGCGACGACAGCTTCGTGTAATTCGAACGAGACGGGTGCTTTCTATCGTGCTCTGACAAAAGGGCAACGCGTGACACACCATGATCACCATAACAAATAAAGTGATCCAACAGACTCACAGAGACTCATTAATATATTCATTATTAATCCTTGAAGACTAACGTGTGAATTTCACTTCAATTCTACTACTTTTTGAATATAAAAATACTTTTCGTATTGTTGAAATTTCTCTGTAGAAATTAGAACGAAAGCAAGTGAAGTTCTCTAACTAAGTTAAAATTGATCGCACGAAAATTTAGCAGGGAACGTCTCCACGTGCCAGGGGATTAAGCGTGTTTCGTGCCAACGAGCAGAGACAACGATAAACGAACCAACACCAACGACAACGTCGAAAGAGCTGTTTCTCGATTGTCCAAACGAGAAACGACTCTCTCCCTCTCTCTCACAACGTATTGCTAGCAAAACACCGTCATTCAAGAAGCAGACAAGCTTGTTCCTCGTTCATTCCTTTCTTTCTCTATTATTCTTTTTTTTGGTCTTTTGTTCGTTCCCCTGATTTCTCTTTTTTTTTTCTCTCTTTTTCTTTTTTCCTCTTTTTTGATACCTTTCACAGGGCAGCGCTGCTCACAGGCAGCACGCGTACGGAATCTATTAGCATTGCCTTTGCAACCGCCGTAAAGAAATTGGCTACACGTCTGACGCGCGGCGTCATAATGCCAGCGTAACACAGAGCCCGGACAAGGGCCGGTATCTTTCTCCAGGCGGCACACGTCTGTCAGTTTTACTGGAAATACGTATTTTCATGGATTACTTTGAACAGCTTTGGGTATCGTATATACGACGATGGTCAAGTGCCAATTGCGTGCTCTCGGTGACCCGAATGCTTTGCTGATTACGGTGATAGTTTGGTGTTTGATTGAAAGTGAACGTGTTATCTTTCAGATGAGTACCATAAGTCGCCGGTGTTACGTTAGTTCGTGTTCTTTAAACGAATGTCGTTGAATCGGTGGAAAATCGTGCGTTCAACATATTCGAGACCGAACGCTAAATTTGACGAGATGAACGAATGATCTGCAATATTGATGACTTGTAATTTGTAAATTACAATTTTAATTGTATATACTAAACTTTTCGTTAGCTGATTCAGAGCGGCACGTTATTAATATATAATTTGCTCTCGCGTTCTCAAGTAGATTAAAAAATAAACATCACATACAGTTTCAAATATGTTCAACGAAAATGATGAAATCTTCCGGCGATTTAGTCTCGATTATCGTTCCTGATTTCTCCTGATCAGTAAATCCTGCTCGCAGCGTCCAGTAAAAAAATAATTAACTCATCGATTGGCTAATGAATTTCGTTCATTGAGCCTTTTGATATATCCTTCTAAACAAATTACATAAATTTCTGCATTCTCCTTCCGCCAAAATCGACAACAATCAACTGCAAAAATTAAGTCGCTTAAAGAAAAAAAAAAAAAAAANTTAAAAAAAAAAAAAAAAAAAAAAAAAAAAAGAAAAAAAATACGAAAGTGAAAATGAAGAATAATCTGTCGAAAGTGTTGCAACACGAGATCTACGTTCTACAAGTCAAAAACAAAAAACAAAAAGGAAAAAAAAATCTGAATACACTTTCAAACGAGTCTAATAAAAGAAATGGGTTCAGGCAGTAGAACGAGCATGATACGTGCGAATGTTCGATGAAAGAGGGATCGCATTGGATGAACGTACCTCGTCTCCTTCCTGGTTGCAAGCATTGTTGGTGGCAAGCGATTTCCGTCGCGAAGTTGTTATCGTTTCCTTTGCAGCCGCCGTAGCGGAATTGCTCACAGGCTTGCGATTCTGCGTTGAAGTACCATCTGGTGAAGTTGCCCTCGCAGGGACCTGGCTCTTTCGTCTGCTCGCAAGGATCTTCGCACATAGTAGAATGCAAGAAATCTTAGAACATCGAATTTTGTAGCAACGAAATTTTAATCAACTCGAAAGATCTTTCACGAACTGATTCTAATAATTTAAATGTAAGCTCCTGTTATTTAAATAGAAAATGAGATCTATTAAAAAATGTACGTTCAGCGAAGGTAAAAATAAGAAAAATTGGTGAATTGTCCATTTGCATCCCAATAAGTTTGGATAAAGAGTTCAGTAAGTTAAAATTGTACTGTGTAGAAAATGTAAATATAATTTTTACTGAAATTGGAATTAAAGTTGGAAATATTGATCGCCGTGTTAAAGGACCAGTCAATTGAATTACCAAGATCATCAGGAGTGACGCAGAGTTCTTCGCATTCTTCCCTGGTCTTGAATTTATTCGCGTTTCCGAGGCAGCCACCGTAGACGAATTGTCCACACTGCTTTCTACCGGTGTCGTAGTACCAAGTAGGGAAATATCCCTCGCATGGCCCGGAGATCTTTGGCAAGTTGCAGGCGTCTGCAAAATTATGTTTTTTAATCTGCTTAACGTGTAACACGAGAAGAAAAATCAATCGTTTCAAGTATTGCACAAATGCTACGACATTACAAAATCAGCTGAACTATTTAAAAAATTTAACGCTTAAAATAAAAATTCTAGATGTTACAACTTCTGCAGAAAAGCTGTATACATTATTAAATAAATTAATAATATAATAATAATTATAAATATTATATATATTATATTATATAATATTATAAATATTATATTATATTATAAATATTATATTAATAATATAATAATTAATAATATAATCGTTTCTCTTTGAATTTTCAATGTTATTACCTTTGCCTTTCGGCTGCACGCACACTTCTTTGCACTCTTCCTGGGTCTTGAATCGATTGTCGTTACCCTCGCAACCACCATACCAGAACCGCGAGCATCCACCGTACTCCGTGTCGAAGTACCATTTGACGGTAAAGTCTCGACAGGGTCCTCTGTCCCTCTCCAGGGCGCACGCCGCCCCAGGAGTAGGTGGAACCGACAAACAGCCCTCAAAGTTCTCTCCTTGAGCTTCCTCGGACCCATCCGGGCAACATCCGTACTTAGAGGCGTCGCAAGTGCATCCGGCGAAGTTCGGACCCTTCGCCGGCGTTCTTCCATCCGAGCAGCACTTGAATTCTGTGTTCTCGCAACCGCAGCCTGCGTGATACGAACGCAACACGAAAAAGCTAATCAACCAATTTTCGAAGTTAAACTCTGCACGAAGAGAATCTGGATTAATTCGATCAATTGCATTTCTATTTCTGCCATTTTTCTAACTTTCGAGGATCTACCTCTGTAATTGAAGGAGAGTGTATCTTACATTTTATTGTAATATTTTCTAGAATTTAAGGATTTTTTTTAAAAGTATCTGCTATTTTTCTAATTCTTCATTTTTAACGAGGATGGTCTTTTGCCCCTCTGTAATCAGAGGGGAGTATATATATATTTTATTATATTATCTAGATTATAATTTTCTAGATTAGTAATATTTTCTAGAATTTGGGGATCTTTGTAAAAATATCGTTGTAAGATAATCGCCAATAATACTCCAATATTAATAATTACACAAGTGATTACCAAAAATTATATTATTCTCATTTATACCTTGTCCGTGAGGTCCTTTGGCGATGGTGACACCATCGGGGCAGCAACCGAACTGATACGTGTAACAGGAACAACCTTGGTAATTTGGTCCAGTGGCCGGTGTGAAGCGATTTGGACAGCAACCGTGCGGCGTGTACTTGCAGCCGCAACCCTCGTTGTTTGGTCCACGAGCGGCGGTGCTGTTGTCTGGACAGCAGCCGAATCTCGTGTATTGGCATCCGCAACCGTAGAAATCTGGACCGCGAGCTGGCAGTATGTTGTCTGGACAGCACTTGAACGGTGTCGACAAACAACAACCCTCTCTGTTCGGACCGTGTGCTGGAGTGCTACCGTCGTCGCAGCAGCCATAAGTGCTGTTCTCGCAGGGCATGTGGCAGCCGTCGTTGTTCGGGCCAAGAGCTACGTATTTTGTTATTTTAAAAAATTTGAGACAACGAGACTTTTTTTTTTTATTTAATTTACTTCAGCACAGAGATGACAGTATTTTTGTTTCTTTTCCATTTCATTGTTTTAGAAAATTAGGGGATTTATCGTTAACTTATTTCAGAAAATTGATAAAAATAGTGGAATCGTCTGATTCATGGAAGTGAATAAATTTTCGGGAACGTGTGTTCAATATTTTTTTCCAATATTGTAACGTACCTGGTGTGATACCGTCGGGACAGCATCCGTAAGTGGTATTGGCGCAATCTTCGCGCAGAGTAGTTCCTTCGTACTCTTCCGTGACAGCCATGACAGAAGTAGTTTCTTCCTCACACCCTATAGCCGTTACATTAATCAAATACCTCAGTATATTCTCTTTTTAAGTATAATTATTTTTGAATATCCTCGACAAGTGTACCTTCTTCATCAGGTCCAGAAGCAGGCTTAATTCCATCAGGACAGCAACCAAATTCGGTGGCGTTGCAGCATCCCATGTTATCCTTTCCGCTGGCTGGTGTCTCGTTATCCGGACAACATCCGAACCTGAAATATTCATTCCACATCATTATCAAGCATTAAAGTATTTAAAAAACTTGTAAATACCGAATATTTCAATATCTTAGTAACATTAATAAAATTATCAATTCTACCAATTCGCTATTTTTTACATGTCCTCAAAGTATTTTAAAATCTATTTTATAGTATAATAAAATCCATTTCCAAGATATTACAAAAAGTTACCAAAATATTCCAAAAAAAAAAAAACAGTATTTGTACCATAATATTTCACATATTTTGCTGTCCAATAAAATTATTAAAAACGCTCCCACCCCCCCAAAAAAAGTGAATTTGTCGGTACGATGCAAGAACTGAACAATGAAACCACTCTTCACTTTGAATATATCGTAGAGATTAAACAGCAAAAGGTTTAAACCGTGTCTAGGTCCATCTTGCCTCAAATATCATTGTACGAGTGTTAATAAATTATACTAACTCCGTTTCGTTGCAGGGTTTCTTGCATCCCTCCAAGTCGTTGCCCTCGGCAGCGGTAACTCCGTCGGGACAGCAACCAAATAACGTCTCCTCGCAGTGTGACTCGGGACAACCTTGGTTCTCTGGGCCAGTGGCTGCAGATACACCGTCCGAACAACAACCGTACTTGGTCTCGTTGCAAGTCTGTATCGTGGGGCATCCTTGGCCAAACGGCCCTTCTGCCGCGGTGATTCCATCGTAACAGCAACCGAAGGGCGACGTTTTGCAGGTCTTCTTCTTCTTCGGCACTTTGCACACGCGATGCTTGCGCGTGGTCTCTTCCGGGCTAATGGTCGTCCACAATTCAGACACTGAAACAGAAAAATGTACGATTTTGAAGTTTAGGTTTGTCAATTATTTGATTCGGATAATTAGATCTCGCAATTGAAATCTGGATCACTTTATTTACCGAAATTTGAAACACCGAGTCATAAAAATTAATTCTTTCTTTTATTCGAAACTTTCATTTCTTCAATATAAATATTAATGTTCGAATACTGCGTTATCAGACGATATTATCCAATGTTTGAATCAGAAATCAATTCTCTATTAAAATCCAGATTCCTCTTTAAGACAAATAAGCCGAGAGTTAAGACTACAGGAAGATATATCGACAAATGTTCCGACAAAGTGGAACAACTTACCGTGCGTTGTTTCAGTAGTCTCAGTCTCTTCCTCGTCAGTGGCTGGTGTCAATCCAGAGACAGTGGTGTCGGTCACGCCAGACACAGTGGTCTCACCGCTCTCAGTAGTCGCGCCAGACTCTGTAGTTTCCGTAGAACCAGACTCTGTGGTAGCACCAGACTCCGTCGTCTCGCCAGAAACTGTCGATCCCTCGGTTGTTGTTTCACCAGATTCAGTGGTCATACCAGACTCGGTAGTTCCCGTAGATCCAGATTCCGTGGTTTCGGTAGTTGCTCCGGATTCTGTTGACTCTGTGGCCTCCGTGGTGGCACCGGATTCTGTCGATTCGGTTGCTTCCGTAGCGCCAGATTCTGTAGTGCCTTCAGATTCGGTCGTGGCACCAGATTCTGTCGATTCGGTGGTTTCTGTCGCGACAGTTTCTGTTGTAGCACCGAACTCCGTAGTAGCACCAGACTCCGTGGTTTCTGTAGCCCCTGACTCTGTGGTCATTGTTGGCTCTGTCGATCCTGATACCGTGGATCCTTCGGTGACTCCCGATTCCGTCGTTTCACCAGTTACCGGCGATTCCTCCGTTTCTTCTTCTGGCTCGCCTTTCACCTCTGGCACTGTAATTGTCGACGCTCCTATAAAGTTGATCGACAGTTAGCAATTAGTGTTTAGAGCGCAACGTGAGAATCAGAATTTTTGAGAAAGAAAGAGTTAAAAATTTGATAAAATACCTTGTCGTACAATGTCCTATCCAACAATTAAAATTTCGTTCACAATAATTCTCTTCGATCAATTTCCATTTTGTCAAATTTTATTTTTTCATAAAAAGAAATTTCAAGGTATTAGATATTTCTCCTATGAATATCCCATAATTAAAATTTCATTTACAATAATTCTCTTCGATCAATCTGCATTGTCAAATGCTATTTTATATATGAAAAAAAATTCCAAGGTTCCATTTGATATTTTCAAATATCAGATTTTATAATCTTATGAAACTTCAAGAATTTTATTATAACAAATTACTGCCTGATCCTTGATTAAATTTTTGTCGTGCTATTATCTAATAATTGGCTATAGATATAATTGTCTTTTTTATTTAACGCGTTTAAAATCTATGGCCTCTTATATAATAATGGAACTCTGATTCACCAGATTCTTCGGTAGGTGTCACTTCCGTTGAAATAGTCTGTTCGGTGACGGTGCTCTCAGTTTCCGACGAAGATGTTGTTGGAGCCGATTCAGTGGATTCCATCGATCCACTAGCTTCCGTTTCCGAGGATTCGGTGGTAACTTCAGTTGCTCCACTCTCGGTGCTTCCTAGCGTTTCTGTCGTCTGATCGCTTGTTGTCTCCTCGGTTGCGCCAGATTCCGTTGTCAGATCCGTTTCTGTATTAAAAATGGTAAAGTTACACGCACAATTATCAAACCTATTAAAACCTATTAAATCACGCTTCAAGAGTGATTAATGTTGTTAATTCAGCAACTGTTTAAACATTCTATTACATATAGGATGATCTAACGTACAATGTAAAATCAGAGACAACAAAGGTGAACTTTAAAAAAAATTGAAGAAATGTCGTCCTGTTCTTTCAGAAAGATGACGACACATGTCGAAGTCGAAGGTAGAAATCCAGATGTATAAAGTTAGTTACGCAACATTATCTCTTTTTAAGGCTATGTACATATTACCTTTAAAGGTTACGTACACACGAAAGTGTGTACTTCGCAAGACTTTTGTGTAAATTGTTAACGACGAAGTTACGGTGACTTACCGCCGGACTCCGTGGTTTCCTGCGTCATCGATTCCCCGGTGGAATCCTCGGTGGATCCTTCGACGGATTCCGTTGTTCCGGATACCGTCGTAAACGATTCGTCGGTAGTTTCGCTAGTCCCGCTGCCTTCGAACTCCGACGTGTAAGTGAACAGCGGATCTGTATAGTCCGATCCGCTTCCTTCCACGGTTTCCATTGCACTCGGAGATATGTCGCCCCTGGTAGGCCCTTCGTCTCCTTGCATCTTATCGTATATGTCGCTCGAGGTGGTATCGCTGGTGTCTGGCGAGCTCAGAGGAGTTGCCTCCGTAAGGTCAGTCACTCTGCTCGATTTATCCTGAACGAGCGAACGAAATTTGCACTTTAACCTCTTCGCGGACAAATTTTTAATTTACGTTGGATTTGATTTTTGGCGAATGAAGAAAAAAATTAAATTCACATTTCAGAATTTCAAGAAATAACTATTTTTGTTTCGTGAATGGAAGTAGCTTTCTTACAGAACGTAAATTAACTGTCTATATATATGGCCAAGGACGTTAATATGGGAGGAAATTCTAAAATTATTCCAAGTAATTCGACGAAGGGTTAAAAGAAGGAAATTTGTAACAGACATTCTCAGAAGCTTCGATCCTAAATCTAGATTCTAAGGGTTTTAACTTCAGAGGAAGTTCATTGATTACCATTTTTTTACAATTCGTAATTGTTAACAAAATATATTGCTAATGATTGGAAACAGGGCCAATTCATTAAAATTTAATAAAATTCTGATTTTCTTTTGAACTCTTAAACTCTATTACGAAACTTTCCAATAACTCCTTGCCGAGAGAAGGAGAGTAAAATCCTGTTGTATCGACACCTGTGCTAATAGAAGAATCGTAGGAAGGTGATGTTTAACGTAACGTTCGACGATAAAGTTACGAAACACGGCCAAGTTTCACTTACGCTAGGCGCGAGGCTCGAGGATACGGTCACGAAGTCTTCGTCCTCGTATACTTCGCACTCGTCGTCCTCCTCCTCGGCGAGATCTTTGATCTTCTCCGGCTGCATTGGTATCACTTCGTCTGGAAACGAAATTAAATAATAAATCCTCCGCGTCCAGTGAAGTCACGTTCACGTTAATCCGATTGGAAATCAAATTTCTTTCAAATGAAAATTAAGAATCTCCTTAGCCTGAGATGGAGCGCGATCGAGTCGCGATTGTTTCAATTCTTCTAGGATAGTTCTCGATTTCCTTATATACCTTCCTCGCAAGCCTGGTCGTTGCAATTTTCCGTAGAGAATATGATCGTGTTGCTGTCGCAGTTATTCAGCGGTACCGTCTTGTTGGCCTTCATGCAAATCACCTTGCGGGTCATCGTGCCGCCGCCGCACGGTTTCGAGCACTGGAAATACGCGCGTAAGATGATTAATGGAAGAAATTCGACTCGGTGGGCTTTTTGTTAAGCTCGCTACAAAGCCGTCGAATCGTATTGGATTTCTCTCTCAAGGTCGATCGAGGGAACTCTCAGCACGCGGCGGTATGCGTTTCTCGCAAATATCTCGCGAAACTCTTCTCTCTTTCGTCTTTGATCGTGTGTGGAAAATCGTTCGGATAATTGCTTGGTCGGAGTCGTTTGGCGGAGGGGAAAAAAAAGGAGCTCGAACGAGAGAGGAGAGAAATTCCAGGGAGTTTCGAATATATGCGTTGTACCTTGCTCCACGGTCCAGCGAACCACTCGCCTTTGCACTCCTCCTCGGCGGTGCAGTTCTTCGTCTCGTTGAATTTCCCGGCCGCGTCGCATTTTTCATCCGGCGCTTTCTTCACCGTTTCGTCGTCGTACGTGCCGCAGAACACCTTGCGTGTCTGCACGCCTGACCCACATTTCGCTGAACACTATGGGGACCGAAATAATTACGTGTCAAATTGCGCGCAACTCGGATGAGCACGAACGGGGCAATTTCCGAACAACGTGAATCGCTATTATTCTGGATTGTTTGTACTTGTAGCGTTATCAAACGCAAAACTGCGTCGTGTACGTTCTTTTTCCATCATTTCTACGCTTTTTCCACTTTCAACTTTCAAACATTTCTGAATTTTTCGTTCTCAAGCGTATTTCTGTTTTCGACAACAACCATTTCGAAATGAACTTTTCTTTTAACAATGAACACAATGTAACAGCATTAAACCTAACGTATATTCTATATTCTTATATTTTATTATATTTATTACGTTTTTATTATTATATCTATTCTGTTGGATGACCAACCAACTCTGACAATACTGATTGTATGTCAGTAATAGTCTCCCTGAGACAGTTATTAATAAGGCAGATCTGCGAATAGTTCATTCATAGACAAAATTTATAAAAAGACGTGCTAAGAAAAGAAGAACACTCTTTTCCATCAAGCAGACCTTGCAACATCATGCCTGACCACGGTTGCAACGTGGAACAAACCCTCTTAAAAATGTCAAGTGTCACCTTTACGCGGAATCCAACAATTCTATAGAATTCTATACATCTTGTATAGTTTTAAATTATATTTCGCAATTCAAACTCACGTTGCTCCACTGAGAAGCGAACCAGAGGAACTCGCAGTCCTTCTTCGCCTCGCAGTCGCGCGTCAGTTCCGGCTTCTTTTCGCCGTCGCATTTCTCGTCCGGATAAACGGTGCCGTCTTGAGTGGCGCAGTACGTGGTCCTGGTCTCCTCGGTCAGTCCGCATTTGTCGTCGCACTAAACGAAAAGCAGTGACCCAGAGATTCAAGCGATGTAATCGCGAGGAACGTCCGCGAGAGACATCCGGGAAGGAAATTGGGACGCGTATTCATTTCTGTTAGTGATCGCAGCTTGCCGAGAAGTATATCAACGAGAAGATTTTTACTTTCCAGCCGCGGAAGGAGGAAAAATAATTTTAATGGAACGCGGTTGGTGGTCTTACGGCGTGGCGGTATCGCGTGAAAAATTACGAGCTTACTCCACTCCAATCCGACGTGACCCAGTCGAGGCCGGCGCAAGGTCTCAATTCGCAGGGTTTCTCACGCTCGGGTGCCTCCTCCTCGCAGGCCTGATCCTCCAGCACTTGAATCTTTCCGTCAACCTTCTTGTAACACGTCACTCGTCTCGTTTGCTTGCCCGGGCCGCACAACCGGTCGCACTGTTCGACAGAGAATGAACAGTTTCCAGAGAATTTTAAAAATTGGTATTACTGGTTGTTCAAGACTTTCAGTATTGAAGGACGTAACGTTATACAAAAAAAGTATACTCTCAAAAGTGTACCACTGAAAAAATTCTGTCATTTTTGTTTTTTAATTTTCGAAATTTCGCTGTTTCCGTGGTTCGTGCGATAGCCATATTTATACTAATTAACGTGCATTTTAGTTTCTTAGTTTCAAATGGTTCTGAATCACGTCAGCCATTATAGCGAATCCGTTTTTAAAAACATGGCTATATAATTTCCACAACTTTCGTTAATGTCGTTAAAAAAGAAAATTGTACAGACTCCTTAAGTATGAATAAATCTGTGTGCGAAAACTGCATACCAAAATGTGTCATGGTTTCCTTAGAAAATAATCTCCAAAAAGTCGATTTTTACAAGCCGGATTACCAGAATACCCCCTCTTAATTTAATTGAAAGGTTGATTACCGGTTTCCAGGGCCCTACGTGGAACTGCGGGCACGCCACGTCCTTGTTACACTCCTGCGTGGTCGGCCCTTTCGGTCCCACCTTCTCCAGGCATTGACTATCGTCCACCACCGTTGGTATTCCGCCAGAGACGACTTGCTCGCATTTGATCCTTCTGCTCTGCTCGCCTCCTTCGCCGCAATGCTTGCTACAACGGCCCCATTCGCCTTCCACCCACGCAGGTGGACACGGGTCCACGTTACAGGCCTCCGTGTCAGCTGGTTCCATCTGTGGATCGCAAAGGCTCTCATCCACCGGTTGCCTGTCCCTTCTTCGTACGCAGGCCACTCGTCTCGATTGATAACCTTTCAAAACGGTTTGTTCAATGGGGGTTGAAATCACCTTTAACTCAACTCAAACATCTTTAAACATTTCTCATTAAATTATTACTGAAAGTTTGTGTCGCGCATACTGTGACTCTTTTGTGAAGATTGGTTCGTTGGTTAGAAAGAATCGTCACAAGTATACGTGAATAATGTATACACTGTAATAATTCTAGAAAATAATGTAACTTATAATTTCACTCTCGGACGAGATGTACGCGATATCAATCTTTTCACTGAAATTGTACAAATCAGTAGAATGAAATATTAATTAAATATATGTAATAGAATAATGCACTACACACTTCAGAATAGAATTGAAAAAAAAAAAAAAAATACAGTTTCAGTAAAAATGGATTATGTTTCGAAATTCGATTCTCGACGCAATTGAAAATGCAATGATTCGACGGTCCAACGATGGATATAAAATGATCTGTTTTAGGCAGGTTAAATGAAAAGCATATCAATTAATAAACGTTCATCAAACCAGGAGCGTTCATCCGCTGGCAAATTGCTCTATCAAATTTAGAACCGGCGGAACCTCGCGTTCGGTACACTAACCGGCCAGGCTATCCGATTATTGATTACATTCGCCCCGTGTATTTAGGTAGCTGTATTAATTTTGGAAATACTACCTCCGCCGCAAGTCGCGCTGCAGCTGGAAAATTCATCAGTTATCCACGTGTAGCTGTCCGCGTCAGTATGACTCGAGACTCTTTTCGGCACGCTGTATTCGTAATGCACTCCCACGTTGTGGTCCTGATATAAAAGCTGTCCAGATCAAAACAAGCGAAGAATTATTATTCTTCCTCTTCATCCACGATAGTTAACAAAATTGTTGCATAAATGTTTGACTTGTCGATAAACTAGAGCATGAAATTGCTCGTTACATCAGTGAAATTAAAAATAGGATGAGTTTATATAATTAAATGAGTCTCTATCGAAAAACACTATCATTCATCTGACCACTCATTTTTGAAACAATTGCACCATTTGTGCAATTGTTTCAAAAATTCTTTTCTTGCCAAACAAAAGCTCTTTTTACTGATATTATTATTCTTAAGTTTTACGCTTCAACTTCCATTTCAATGTTTTCGTAAAAATTAATTTCACATTTCGCAGAATTCTACGGTATTAATGTTCGTTCACACAGTTCACATTCAGATTACTGGATTCAATTGACAATGGTATTAGTTCATCAGGTATCAACTAAAATTTCGTTTCAATGAATGCAGTCGGATAAGTCGAGTATATAAGCCTACTAGAGAGAATCACTAAACTCTAGTTACATGAACTCGTTCTCTTCTCGTGATGGATTCGGGTAAACGGATTTATTCTGCATTTTACTGTAAACTTCAAGAAACTTCAAGAATCATAAAATGAAAGAGAAAATTGTTACTATTAAAATGAAATTGTTTATCGAGAAAGAAGAAAGGTTAAACGAATCGAATAAGATTTTAAATGATCTCTCTCGAAGATTTAGATGAATGATACATTTTAAATGATACTACTACTACCATAGTAGATATATATATTAGAAGAATACTACTACTATCAGTAGCACGCAAGAAATTTTCTATCAAACGCGAGTATTCGAAACGAATTGTATTCAAAAACATTGAAATCTTTCAATCGACATCGCTAATTTTGGTTTTCTCGAACAAGTACAAAAATATATTTCATACCCGAAAGACTTTAATGTTGTTTGATCGATTGTTCTACAATTGCCTGATTAATTTCTACGTCGATTGAACACGAGCAAGGTATGTCATTATGGTGTTTAATGATTCTGCTTATTTTAATGGAAAAGAAGCGAACTCTTTTTCGACTAGATGACGTTGTAATTTTCTATTTAAGGGCGACGCAGCCACTCACCACCACGTAAATTGGTTCACTCGTCGGCCCCAAGGCGGTAATGGTATCGGGTGCCGAGAAACCTTGCGGATCTCTCGAATAATGGAATATGGTCCCGGCAAATTTCAAGCTCCGTGGAAAATCTATCCTCCAGTTTCCATTTAGATAATAGTTGCCCGAAGTGTTTCTAATAGCTGCCGGTAGAAAATGTATTAAAACGTCAAGGTTCAAGCGGGTGTCTCATCAAACGCTTTATTCGATGACCGTCGATGATAATCACGGTGTGCACGGTTAAAACATCACTCACCTAGATAATTGTTCGAGGGTTCGATTTCTTTCACCACCACGTTCGTCGCACCCTGGGGTATCAATATGATATCGACGTATCCTGAAGAAATAAATTTATAAATAATCGGTAAATCTCACGCTCTTAATATCGCAAAATTTTCTTGCGATCCATTGAAGTGTGACTCCTTCGAGGATATACTTTGAAATTTTTTATCATTTCTTTCTTCCACCAATTCGCAACAATTTTCAGTCAGCCTTCATCATTCGACAATCCATTGAAGAGAAAACGAAAAAAACATGGAGATCCTCAGCTTACCCGCTTGGAGATCATCGGTGTCAAACAAACCGGAAACGGTGTTGCAATTGGACCCGTCACCACCGCATTCCCTGCATACGTCCTCCCTCACGTCGCTTCCAAGCATCATATCACATCCAACGTGCTGATAATAAAGAAAGTACACGTGTCATGACACACTAGTTTCCAAATAATCCAAGCAATCAATCGTGACACTCTTTGAATTCTATAAAATTACAGCATCCTTAAAATAAAAGCAAATCCTTCGAATTTCCTTCCACAACTGTAACGTTGAAAGAAAAAAATTAGCAAATCCAATATTGATCCTCGATCGATTTTAAAATTCATATTCTCTGCTAGAAATTCTTTTTATCAAAGATAGATCTTTTTAGTTGTTTAACTCAAGTCAAATGGGTCGATTTAATCGAAGAAGCGGCGAACGGAAATAAAAGTCGCACGTCGCGATGACCGCTGAAACTCACCATACATTTGCCTCCGACGCAAACGTCGTTCTTCTCGGTTTCGCATGGCGTCCCATCGATCACCATCTGCCTGTGCCGGTAGAAGAAACGCTCGCCGCGCGGCATGCAATTCAATTCGCACTTGTTCGGCCCACCGGTGTATGGGATCCAACTGCGAACGATTTTGCGCGATTAGTCTCGCCGCGAGCCATTCCCCAGAGCAGAGATTCAGCGATCGTCATCGATCTTCTCGATAACTAGCCGTTCTCCTCCGGAGAATGGTACTTGCAGCTTTTCAAGTCATTGAAATATCATTTAAATGATATAGAGAAATTAGTACGAAGTATAAAAGTCAAAAAAGGAATTAGTATAGTGTAAAGAAATTGGAGCATAGGTCTTTTTCTGTATTTCTTGTATTTTAAGTGATATTAATTCTTTCTGTATTCCAAGTTGATTAATTCTGTTTTTCTTCTTTTAAATTAATTCTTGAGTGATAATAGTTGTTTGCTACGAAATTCATTTTATGGGACAACAAAATTTGGAGGTGTCTACAAATTAATTTTGTAGGAAATTCGCGAGCTGCGAAATTCATTTTATGGGACAGAAAATTTCATATTAGTCCACAAGTTAGCTCTGTGGGAAATTTGTGAGACAACAAAATTCGGACTACAAATTAGCCGAGTAAAAAATTTGTGGGCTACAAAATTTGAAGACGTCCATAAATTAGTTTCGTGAGAAACTTGTCGGCTACGATATTCTGCGTTTTGTGAGATAAGAAAATTTGAACCAACTCACAAATTAGTTTTGTCGAAAATTTATGGGCTACAAAATTCATTTTGGAGGATAAAAAATTTATAACTGTCCACAAATTAGCTTTACAGGAATTTTTTCTTTACATCCTAATTGGGAAGGGTGAAATGGTTGAACGGGAATGTGGAAAATGGAATGTAAAAATGTGTGTATCATTGGGTGCAAACAGAATATGAGACATAAATGTAGAATAAAAAAGTGTGGTCTGTGGTGTGAAATATGAGACACGAATGTGTGATATTGTTTTAGGATAAGGAGTGTAAAAGATTAAAATACGAAGTGTGAGATGTAAAAAGTAGGTTACAGAATAACCAATTCTTTAATACTAAATACGGAATGCAAGATGTGAAGTATGGAATATAAAATATTACGTCAGACGAGAGACATGGAATGTAAAATGTAATAACATTGAATGCGATGTAAAAAAAATATGATACAGAATACGGAATATCGAACACAGGATACGGAAAATGAAAATTGAAATGTGAGATATGAGAAATAATAGGATACGAAATAAATATACGTAAGTATATGTATAATATAGGAATATAGGATAGGAAATGCGGAATGTAGGATGTGAAACGTGAGACGTGGGATGTGGAATATTGTGCAAGGATAATGGAATGTGAAACATGAGATGTGAGACAAAATATAAGACGTCGATCACGCAACACATGGTCTGTAGATCATTGCGCGCAGATTTTTCATGAATTTTGAACGCTAAGTCCCGTTCCCATTGAACGGGAGTTCAAACGAGCATGGATTTCAACTTCGAGCGGGCTATTAGATTCCGTCGGAGATGGACGAAAAGGCCGTGACTTCTCCCCGTCGGATACGACGTCGACGATAAATCACATTCAGCCGCGTATCCAGCAACTCCATCGGGATTCCAAAACGATCCCCGACGAAATGCGCTGACAGATCGCGTCACAGGGGCCGCGCGTTTCGCTATACTCACTCGTAGTAAATTCCCTCGAATGGCACGCCGTTGAATTCAGCGCACTGCTCCGCGCGGAAGTCCTTCTGTTCGCCGGGACATTCCTGAACAAAGAAACGAAGAGAGTTGCGTTAATAAAATTTTTCACGTGCATTTTTATCCCTTTAGGCAGACTTTGTAATTGAACTTTAGGAGGATTATTGCACGACTATAATTGGAAATGAGAATACTCTGCTACTAGGTAAAAACAATCCTCCAATTAATTATATCTACGAGAATGTAAATTCGCGCAGATACACGTGGTTCAACGATGAAAATAATTTCGCGAATTTTCCGATCTTAATGTTATTTAGTAATTAGAAAGGAATTTATTTATTTAGGCCAAGGATCAACAGATGATAAATCCACGAAACGAAGGATGAAGATCTGCAAATCGACAAACGCTTTTCAATGGAAGAAAATATGTTCGTAAAGTGAGAGTAGTTTTACGAGGATTTTTAATCATCGATTGTGTTAAAAAAGAGAACGAAATTGATTTCAGAGAATGATACATCGAACGCTTCGTCCACAAGTATAACTAGACTAGATTCACTTCAGAACTAACCTACTAGATTCACGATCTGTGATTAAACTAGATTCTAAATCTAATCTCCCCCCTTCCCCCTCCCCTCGTTTTCGCCACGCACATACCACGGACCAGACGGGGACCAGTTTTCCAATTTTCGTCCTTGCTGAATGCACGCGTATATTTCTTCGCGAGGAAAGTAGGGTCCGTCCCCTACTGTTAGGTTACAATATTTATTTCGAAGTCTCGCAGGATCACTTGGAGGGGAGAAGTGCAATATCGTAGGCGGAGGAAAGGAAGAAAGAAAAGCAAGCGAACACACTTGTAATCGTAACCTCGAGCTTTCCGTGCGCTCTCGCATCAAGATTTTTTTCTATTTATCTCAAATTCCCTCGCGATTCCCAGTGATTCATCCTTATTCTCCCACGTTTCGGTTTCTAAGTGAAGATTTATGTATCACGCAGACCTCATTTATTCTCGATAATACACTGTTCTTGAAATATCAATTTTTAATCGTAAGTCAGATTCGCTGGCAATCGATGTTCCCTCGATACTTACTTTTTCTTAGATCCTTCACGATAGTTCTATTTCTTTCCGTACTGATGCAATTTCATTAAATTGAAAATAACATTTTGATGAAAATGTGAAGTAAAAAAAAAAAAAAATTCACCGTGAAGTAAAAAGCAAATGACAATTTCTCCCTTGTTAAAAGCTGACAATACTAAATTTCGGAATTTGGAAAACTAACAATGTCCTTGTGCGTCCGCCGCAAGCCCGTGAGATATTGAATAAATGTTCGTTAAACATCCCTTTGCTCGACAACGTGCAGTTTCCAAACACCGCAAGATCCAGTGTTGTCAAACCCAACGCAACGTCCCTTCGCTAATCGAACAAGCAAACACTATCTCGATAACAATCTCCCTCGACCGATCTCTCGCCACGATCCTCCGTGTCACATTATTTTCCACAGCGAGCGGTCGCCAAAAATTAGATGGCTCGAGTCACACACGGGGCAACGTTGTGACTCGAGTCAACAGGAGGAGGCTACGGGGAAGTCGGCCTGTTCAGGTAATGCCGATAAATCGAGCGTGATAAAAAGAACAGCACGATTCTGGAAGGGGGACTGGCGCAGCACGCACGAGGATATGCCGGCGGCGTAGAATTTATGACGGAGACAGTGGACTGAGAAAAGGGGAACGGGTGGAAAGGGGTGGGTCCATTGGTGACCGCAAAAGAAAAAGGATCGAAACCCGCGATCCCGAAACGATGCCAAAGGTCCTGCAACCCTGCTGATTTATGGCGAACCACTTTTCTGCGGCGGTCCTGCGATTGACCTTGAACACTGGCTGGCCAATCGATGGTTCAGGGGGCACCGTTGCAGGCTCTTGCGATCGCCGCGGAGTATTTCTTTATCGAGAGAATTGTGGCTAATTCTTAACTGGAATTTTATTAAGCTTCTATTTTTTTAATAAGATTGTGATTATCGCAATTTATAACTGGTTCAGGAGTCTTTTGTTTCATTGAATTTCGTCAATAACTTCTGCGACGAAGGAAAATGTAAATTGAAGCAAGTAAATATGCAAAATTATAATCAAAAGACTACGATAATACTATCTGACAGATTGTTAGGTTTCAATTCCAGTTTCAACTTAACTTAACGACTCAATGAATAAATAAAGTTATTTTGGATATGATAGATGGGAATTTATAAAAAAGTCTTCTTATTTATTAAAAGATCTCTGATGTGTTTCGTAAACTGTGAAGGTGGAACGATTATTATTATTTGGGCAAGTAAGAATGACTTTTATTAAATAAACGAAATAAGAAGACCTTGAATGGAGTTTTTCTACAACGAAAGTGTCATGAATTATCCATGACGATTGAAATCCAGAAAATTTAGAAATACATATTTGTATTTCCATTATCTGAACGATTCAATTCTCTGTTCTCTTTGTTGTGTGATTTATAGATATACGGGAGTATTAAAGTATACGATTGCCCTTGTCATTTTTCCAGGATAATGCGATCATAATCCTCAAAAGAATCGCAATATCTCACGTTTGGGACAAGAATGTGCGGAATGTCCGTTTCTTCGGATCTTTTATACAGCATTTTCCTTTACCAGGTGTCGTTCATTCTTCCAAACATCAACCATTCAATCTTCAACGTAGAGAGGAAAAAAGAAAAATACACGCGTATGCTTAATCTCAAAAAAATGTTATCCTCGGTTCGTTGGTAGAGTAGAATAATAAATCGATTATTTTTGCGTGTTCAAAATTAGATTTGCGAAAAATTTAAGGCAGGAAATACACCTTCGAATTCTAAATAAAGGTTTCTCGTATTTTCCATGTCGTTCTCGAGTATCGGATGTAAGGAAGAGGAATTTATTCGATCACACGTTCAAACAGCTCGATTGATAAAGCAATCGAATGGAGGACCTAGATCGAATCCATCGATCTTTTGTACTTTAGATGTCTCTTGAACTTTTCAATCGGATAAAATATCACATCTCATGAATGCATGTGAGACACAGCATTACAAAATTATCTCTACAAATGTACTTTTCTATTATTCAAGATTTATTTAAAAATTCAATTCCTAAAATGTTCTGTAATTTGTTGACAATAACGGGGAAATAAATCAACCAAATATTGTAAACACTATGAAAATTGCACCAATTGCACTAAAATCTGTAATAATAGTTATATTATTATGTATACAGATAATAATTATTAACATGTTAACAATTATTATTAGTAGTAGTCAATTAACAGTCTGATACTATTAATAATAGCTAATAGTTATACTAGTTTGTTAAATTATTTATTACTTGACAGTATAAATAACAGTCTACATTAAATATAGTACAGTTACTAAATATAGTAGACTATTGCTAGCCTACTAAAAAATATACGAGAATTTCCCACAAGACTCGCAACAATCTCCCTCCCCCCCAAAAAAAGAAGCCAATAATTTCCATTATTACAATAATCTTATATTATATCTTACATTATCGGACTGCAATTCCCCAAATTCCTGATCTAACCCCAGCCACAAATCGAAGAAAAATTCGGGCGAGAATTCAGTTTTATACAAAATACAGAAAGTAGTATTTCCCGCAATTACGAAGACACGCAATTAAAGGAATCCGTCTCGTTAAAGGGATCCATCTTCTTCGACTCCTTTCCCATTTCACTTCCCCCCTTACTCCTGAGTTTATTCCTCATTCCGGCCGGGCTTTCATCCACCAAACTCCCCGCGGGGAGTTTCCGCCGTTCAATAATCTCTGTTTAGCCGGCAGGCATTGTTACTAATTACGAAATGTTTCGCGGTGCCGTGACAAAGGGGGCAAGAACAATGAGCGCCGCTCTCGGCGAGAGGGAATTTTTCCAACGAAATGGGCGAGAGCAATTCGGTCCTGATATTCCAAATAGCCTGGGATAGTTCGTTCCAATTCCCTTGGAATGTGAAATTCGTAGCTACGGCATGTCGCTTTGCCCGGCTGGTAGAACCGGATTTACGCTGCTGCTGCTGCCGACCGAGCTGCGAAACTTGCGCCGGTGAAATCAAAGTACGAAACGATTTGTAATAGAGTCGAGAGCCCGAGGTTTCGTTTATCCGCTCTGGGGAAAAATTGTTTAAACGTCCGGTACAAAAGTTCCGTCCGGCACAAAACTACGAACCCGGTCGTTTTACCTCGCGTGAAAAGATTTTGGAAATCGGTAAGAAATTTCTGAAATAAAAATTCTTTGAAATAAAGAGCAGCATGTAGTGTGAAAATTTTATGAAAAAAATTACAAACTGGTAATTTTGGGAAAAATTATTCAAATCTTTGATAAGAAGTTTCTCTAATGTTGAAGAGAATGCTTAGGAGAAATTACAAATGATCACTTTCGATGTTAAATATTAATATTATATTTATTAAATATGACTATTTAAGTCAAAATATTAGTATAAATATTAATTTTTACGATACGTTGTTTAATTTAATTTTCTTCCTCATTCTACGCGTAAAAATACGCGTAGAATTACTGACGATTAAAGCATAAAATTTCCGTCAAAGACATTGAAGTCAAAAAAAAAAAAAAAGAAAATAGAAAAAAATAGAAAACTTTATAATACAATGGACTGTATAATCTTTTATTTATATTTCGTAAAATATCTAACAAGAATTATAAATTGGTCATTTTGTTAAACGGAGAGACTGTGGCGATTTTCTTTGCTTTTTCATTCTCTTTTCATCACTAATATTTTCATAAAGGGAGAAGTTTGGATAATATCGAAGGTACGTGTACTCATACTTGATGCAGAATCTGATTATCCATCGTGGGACAGAATAAATCAACGATCGATATCCATAGGCCGAGGACGCATAACAGCGACGCAGCTTGTGGCTCGTTTCATTTAGCACGTCGCTTTAACGAAGTTAATACTTCGCAAGTCCATGCCGTATAATGGCCAGCCGTTCATAAATTTTAGCATCTCCGACAGTGCGCTGCGTCCACTATCCCGACGACGTTGCTTTCGAGGATCTCATTA